TGAGGAGCAAAAAATATCACTGGAAAACAAAGGAGAATAGATAAATTCATCATCTTCCGGTGCCTTGCCGACTGGCGTGGGCGATCATGGACCTCCACTTCACCCTGTCCTGCGCTGCAGCAATAGTGTCTGTTGTTCTTGCTGCTCCCAAACATGTTGTCATCTTGTCCAGTATCATTTCCCTCTGTCTGCCTCTCTTTCCTTCAAACGTTCCTGTTATTACAATATTCTCTAATGCTTCTTTCCACATTGTGTGTCCGAAGAAATTTGCCTGTCGATTTCTTATATTCGTGATAAGTTGTTTTCTATCATTTGCTTCAACCAGGACTTCTTCATGTTTTTCTAGCTGTCCATGGGATACGTAGCATGCGTCTTATGAACCACAACTCTGTCGCTACAATTGTTCTTTCCAGCTGTTTATTGATTGTCCACGCTTCGCACCCGTATAATAGGATTGGTTCGATGTATCTTTTCTGTACTCTTTTCCTCGTTTCCAGTGACAAATTGATGTTTGTTAGTATCTGTTTCATCTTGTGGAAGGTTGCTTTTGCTTGGCAATTAATGCGGCTTTTAATTTCGGTGTGACATCTACCATCTGATGATATAATGATCCCCAAATAGTTAAACTGTTGTACTTGCTTGAGGGTGGTATCATTGATTTTGATATTGCAGGTTGGGATTGGAGTTTTTCTGCTTATTACCATCGTTTCGGTTTTCTTGATGTTTAGGCTTAAGCCTATGTTGTCCCTCTCGTGTACGATGACATTTGAATAGATTCTGCAGGTGTTCTTAATATTCTGCTATTAGGACTGTGTCATCTGCATATCTTAGATTGTTTATAGTATACCCCCCTATCGAGATACCAGGCATTTCTTCTATGTGTCTCATGATAGTTTCACTATACAGAGAGAACAAGTCTGGGGAAAGTACACATCCTTGTCTGACTCCTCTTTTAATCTGTATGCATTCGCTGATGTCCTTTTCTATTCTCATTGCTGCAGTTTGATCCCAGTACATGTTTTTGATAATCCTTAAGTCTTTCCCGTCGATATTAAGAACTTCCAGCATGTCGATGATCTTGTCGTGCCCAACTTTGTCGAATGCCTTGGTGTAGTCTATAAAACATACATGAAGATCTTTCTAAACTTCTATGGCACGTTCTGTTGTTGTTCTGATGACATATATGTCATTTACAGTGCCTTTACCTTCAATAAATCCACACTGTTCTTGGGCTATTTCTGGGAGAATTTTATTTTGTATTCTCATCATAATTATTCTGAGTAATGTTTTTGTTATGTGGCTCATGAAGCTGATGGTACGATGCGTTTCACATTCGTTTGCATAAGGTTTCTTTGATAAAGCAATGAAGATAGATTTTGACAAGTCTGATGGAATATGTCCAGTGGCATATTATATATATATATGTTGTTAAGAAGTTTTGTCAGCGTGGTGATTCCAAAGTCTTCTAAAGCTTTAATCATTTCTGTGGTTATGTTGTCCGGTCCTGCAGCTTTCCCATTCTTCATCTTTCGTAGTGCCTTGATAATTTCTTCTTTCATGATTGGTGGTCCCTCGTTGTTATTTTCCACTCTTCTTTGTTCATCTCTTTTGTCATCGTACAGGTCACCGATATATTCTGTACAACGTTCTAGTATCTTGTCTTTGTCCATTATGATATTCCCATCCTTTGATTTGAGGTATCCTGTTGATCCACGTGTTCTTGTATGGCACACCTCTTTAATTTTTCTGTGTAGATCGTTTGAGTTCGCATTGGAATGATTTTTCATTTCCTCACATCGTTCTTTTAATTAACCAGGTCTCTTTTGCTAGATTACATTTGTGTCTGATTTCTTTATGAAGATTCACATATTTTCCCATTTTGTTTTGGTTTGTTCTTCGTTCCTCCATTAGATTAAGAATTTCTTCAGTCATCCATTTTTTCTTTGCTTTTGTTGTCCTTTCTGGTATGACGTCTTTTGCAGCCTCATTTATAGATGTTTTAAGCTGTTCCCATTGTTTTTCTATGTCTTGTATTTCTTCTACAGGCCCGAATTTGTTTTGTACAGTTATTCTGAATTTATCTTGCATTTCTTTGTTTCACTGTAGTAATGCCATGTTTAGTTTCATATTCTTGTTCTTGTTCATGTCTGTTTTTTTCAAATCTGATTCTAAATTGTTCCACTACGGGTACATGGTCACTGTAACAGTCTGTACCTGGCCGCGTTTTGACATTTAGCATCCCGTTTTTGTATCTTTTCTTGATCATGATATTGTCGATCTGGTTGCGAGCGCTGTCTCCAGGACTCTTCCAGGTCCATAATTTTCTGGTGGTTGTTCATACCAAGTGTTGCCAATAATCATGTCATTCAGGATGGCCCATTCTATCAGTTTACTCCTCTGTCATTTCTGGTTCCCAGTCCATATGGACCCACTATGCCTTCATGTCTTGTTGCTCCCACTTTTGCATTAAAATCAACCATAACTATGACAATATCTTGTGATTTACAATGTCTCTTTGCTTGGTTTATTTCATCATAAAATTTCTCTATTTCTTCTTCTGTGCTTTCTGAGGTTGGCGCATACGCTTGGATGATGGTTGTATCGAATGGTGATCCTTTCAGTCTCACCATCATAACTCTGTCTGATATTGTCAGGTACCCCTTAAGTGTCTTCCATGTTGACATGTCCATGATGACCGCTGCTTCTCTTTCATGTTTGTCGCCTCCTGAGTAAATGGTGTTATAGCTGTCGGACAATATTCTGCCAGCTCCTGTCCATCGTACTTCACATAAACCCATGATGTTAACATTCATTCTCTTCATTTCTTTCTTGATGTTGTCCAGTTTTCCTTTCTCTAGCATTGTTCTCACATTCCAGGTTGCTATGTTTCTTGTTTGATTTTTCCTTTTGTGAGCAGTATCTTGATGACGATCTGGTGTCACCTGCTGTGCATGACTGACACTACCGGACGAGGTAGTTCTTTCAGAACTCCCCTTTACGTCATTATCTTTATTTATTATAGTGTTATGATCCATAATGTTCTAGGGAAGGAATACAGCACCGGTTTCCCCTTGCCTTCTGCTGGATTTTTGTACGGTTTACTCCGCTAGCCTTTGTCCAAAAGGACTAACTATCGGCTGGATTGCTCCGCGGCTCATATAATACTGGTAAAGAAGAACGTAGGGTCTAGGGTTTATCGTGTTTATTTTTAGACTGCCTACTGTGGGCTGTGTTTCGGCACTATTCGGCAAGAGCACATTTGGGATGTGCCGGGTTATTAATATTAGTGTACCGCCAAACTCGCTACGAGTGTCATCATCGCTTGGGTTATCCCCAAGAGCGATTTATAGGTCAGGTTACACTGTTGAATATCCTTTTCTGTTTAGCTAAAGCGCGTGGGCTTTGGCATGGCATAGTAGATGTTTTACGGCGCTATAGATATAGAAATGTCAGTTATAGCGGCAGTAAGGACCTTTGTTTTGATATAATTTTTGGTTTGTGTTTGTTTCTGGCTTCCTTTGTTTTATTATTGTGGGTGTTTTACGTAATAGAACATTCAAAATTTTGGGCGGCACTGCACGACCGTGCTCTATGGACGAACCGCACCTGGTTCGTAAATTCATTTATGTAAAGCGCCTAGAGCTGTGTTTACACGGGAGTGGGCGCTATAGAAATGATCTTCATTTTTATTAATGTATTACATAATAATAATATTATTATAGTCTTGATAGGTGCTTAAACCACTGTACATTTGTGTCGTAAGTGCTGTAAAGCTTATTAAAACTAAAAAACTAAAGCTATCAAACTCCGGTAGGGTAACAATGTATTCATCAGAATACACTATGGGGTAAGTTAAATTAAGCAGGTGATCAGCTGTTGAGAGCTTAGCGTGGCTTAGGCCTATGCTGAATGCATTTTCTCCCATGAAATGGGAGATTTGGCACAACATAATGTAATGCATGTAATAAACTGTTTAGGCATGTTTTACGTAGATCTACTATCCAAAAATTGTTGAAGAATTCTGGCATGTGAGTTTGCATTGCCTTGAAAAACGGTGTGAACGCGAACGGAATAGATCTAGATATCTAGCCTTGGCTTCGGCCGTGGCCTACGGATGGTACGATTGAAAGAAGACTGGTGGCTTGGATTTGTTTGTTGACAATGCAGGCACAAGCTGTCTATAAGTTAAGATCAGCAGAGGCTACCCCGTTGTTGGTCCGAGATAGATCTAGATCTAGTAGTTTCCACATGATCACAGACCAGTGGTCAGTGGTTTCTTAATTTATCAAGTTGCGCTTGATAAATGATAAGGACACACTATATTAGGCTAATGGACTAGCCTTCACCAAGAATTTTCGGCGCTTTTTCGGTAGTTCCCACCCCGCAATTGTTATTCACGGGTTTTGGCCCCAAGAGTAGGGGGGTTTCAGGGGGGCTTGCCCCCCTGACCTAACACAAATAGGAAGGGGGGTTTCAGGGGGGCATACCCCCTGAATTTTACCACAATTTAATGTTTTGCTGTTGTTAGGTTTGATATCTTAGCTCACCGCGAATCAAACGTATAGATCTAGATCTAGAAGTAGGTCAGGTTCAAATAAAGGGGGTGGGAACTACCGAAAAAGCAACGAATTTTCAACTGCAGCGAGGCGAGCTGTCAAATTATTGTGCAGCCATCAAAAGCAGTTGTTGTAGCAAAGATGGAACAAAGCAATGACTGAGGCAGGGGCTTGGGTCCTGTCTCAAGAGAGGGGTGAGCTTGTGACTGTTGAGGCAAATGAGTATTTTGTTTGCGTTGGGGCAGAAAAAATCACGAGCATTAGATCTCTAGTTTTAATCTTACCCAGGGATTTGCTGTTTTCCTAGATCTAGATCTAGATCTAGTTTTTTTTTCTTCTGTTAATTAAGAATTAAGAGTACCAAATAACATGTTTCACTTTCCACGAGTTAAAAAAAAATTTGTAGAGTGCTGATTTAGATTTTATATTAATATATGCTTGCAGTTTTAAGATTGACAACAAGACAGGCCAGATAACTGTCGCTGGGGGTTTAGACCGAGAGAAGAGAGACGTATACTACCTGACAGTGATTGCTGTTGATGGAGGAGACAGAAGTACTTCTGCTCAGCTTCAGGTGAAAGTAACAGATCAAAATGACGAGGCTCCAGTGTTTAGCTCAGATGTCTATGAGACTTCCCTCAAAGAAGGAGAATATGTGTTTTCCCATCAGATCACAGTTCATGTAAGTATGTTACTTTGATGTAGCCTATGTAGCCCACTTAATTGTAAGAGCCTATGCATTTTAAAACGTTTTATATATTTATTATAATAGGCCTACAGTGCTTTTTAGGTGATAATTTTAAGGTGATATACAGTGGAAACCTGATATAACAGGGATGGTGGGAGTAGAAGAAAAGTCCTGTTATATCCGATCCCTTTTAAATCAGAAATGCAAGGAAAGTAAGCATTTGTGGACTAATCCAGCTGTACTTATTCATGGGTAGTTCCCCTTGCCACAGGTAACCACGACAAAGATAGTAAATAACGAGATGGGCCACTCAGCCAAAAAAGTGTCCGCAGGAAGTATGCTCTTTGCAGTCTGTTTTGAAGCTCTCTTTCATTTTTCCAGAAGAAGAATAGGAATAGCATCTCCTTGCGTGCGCAGATCGACTGCTGTTCATCAGCAGTTCGGGTACGTTCAGTGCGGAGTTTTAGGTTTTTAAAATTTTAATGACCTCTCGCCTTTCATTCTAAAGTCAAATTAAACGAAGAAAACAATCACCCTTTCCTCCGGAAGAGGTTTTTTGTCAGCGTAACCATTTTAAAAAAGCGTTCTTCCGAAATTTATCCCAAAACATGCTAGTTTCACTTTGATTTTTTAAAACTCAAGTAGGGTAACTCTGTTCGCAAAGAGTGCGCTTTTGTGAAGAGGGCGCCACCAAATTTTGAGGACACTTTTTTAATTGGCTCTAAGAGAGAAGTGGCCCATCTTGTTATGTACCATCTTTGCCCACGATCAGGGGTTTTGGCACCAATTTCTCCATGCCTCCCTAAACCACATCAGAAGAGCTTGGTCCACAGCATCTGCATCGGGTAGTCTCATCTTCTTTCGATCCAGAGCAAACTTTCCATTGAAGTATGCTGTCACTATCTTCTCTCTCTATCCTTGATAATGGTGTGAATCGACCCTTGTTGAAGGTCGAACTGACGACAAATCTTGCAAGTGGAGCTTGTTTTTAGTCAACAGCCTGGATTATTTCATATATTTTGTCCATTTAGAGGCATTTTCTCTTGCGCTTGACATCGTTGGTGGCCATAATGAAAGAAGTAGGCTTAGTTCACAGAGCGGGTTAAGCTTAGATCTACACATATGAGCTATGATGAACTGATGTTAGTGAACAGTCAAAGTGTGGTGTGGTGCATGCGTGTGTGCTTTGAACTCTCGCTTCACACTGCTGTGTGTGCTTGCAGTGGCATGGCTTGCGTGGGCTTGCTCTCTCTCTCTTACTTTTTACACATTGTTAGCGAGCTTTTGTCCCTGCTATAACCTGTTGGGCTCTGATGAGGCCCTGTTATTGCCGATAACTTTTAATGGAGACAAAGAGTAGGAAAAACCGGGGATCTAAAAAATCCCTGTTATTACCGGATCCCTGTTATTTCCTGGCCTGTATTATGGTTTCCACTGTAATTGTTTTAAAAAACAGTTTCTAAGACATCAAAGAATCTTTACTACTAGATCTAGATATATCTAGATTCTAGATCTAGAATCTAGTAAAGAATCTTTGACCTTAATTCATCCTGACTGATTTCTTTCATCTAGATCTATTAGGTGTAGTCAGGGGCGAAGGCTGACTTGTTTGACAGGGTAATCAAAGTGAAAGGGGACCAGGTATGGCCTGAAGATATCACACAAGAATCTTACTCGAGGCGGCGACTCTGAGTTGTGAATGAAAACAAATCCGGAATTCGTATTGTATGTTCAACCGCCAAAATAATCGGGAAAGTATCTTATTTAACATCAGTTCCCACTAAAATTAAACTTAACTTTAGATGTGAATACATAAACATATAGCAAAGAAGCAGAGATGTCAGTACTAGATCTATATGTTATAGATCTACCAGTGAGTCTAACTCTTTGGTAGAACATTACAATTATTATTTTTTTAATTTCACATTTGGCTGTTTTTGTTAGCCTTTCGCGGCCAGGAGCTGGTGTCATAATCGAGGTCACGATCTGATTATAGGACGGTAAAAAGTCGAGGAAAAAAAAACCAAGCACAAGCAGCAGTCAAGAGATTATTAAGAGTTAGTTCCCCTCACATTTGTGAGGTAGACTCGACCAGTGTTAGTTAGCTTACTTAATCAGGGCTGGTGATTGATTTTAACTGTGGCCCCAAAGGGGTGAACAGGGTATATGTGGCAATGAAACAGCTTTGACTGCCATGCACATGTTCCCTTCAACTCTATTCCAGCCTCACTTTATTTGTTGATTACGAACGTTTTTTGACATTTAATTTATGAGGTTTACGTTTAAGGATGAATTTGACAGCGACAATGTTTCAAAATTAGAAAGGGAAGCAGTGATTATTTGATTATATAGACGCTTCGCCCCTGGGTGTAGTCTGTTTGTGTCGCAACGTGGTGGAATCAGGTGCTCGTCAATTTTTGGGCAATTAGTACCATTTTAAAGCCTGTTCATTTGCCTTTATTTTGGTTTTAAAAAACCCCCATCTAGATCTATGTTGAATAGAAGTCGAAATATTTGCTTTTGAAGGAGGTCAGGGTAGCCTGGTTTCAGAAGTAAAATTAGCGAGAAAATGGCTGCCGAAGTTTGGTAACGTCCATTGCCTGAGATTCCTTGGAAACTGAAAATCTATGGGTTTTTTTGTGCCTTTAATCAATGTTTTTTTGTAAAATCCATACAAAAATGTGTTTTTAAATGGACGTTATAAGGTGTTGAGCCAAAAAAAGGAACTTTAGAAAAAAAATGCCCATCTGCCAAAAAAAAAGCTGATTTCTTTGATTTCATTATTTTGATGAGCACCTGATTTCACCTCGATGCCTCCCATTTATAGTAGTGCACAAGCTTGGATTAAACTTTTGATTCTCTATTGTAACTAGGTCAGGTGATGCACTGCCAATATCTATACACTATGGCAACCTGTATAAGTATAAGACAGTCACGTGTATAAATGTGCGCTTCAGATTCCTTCCCTTGCGTTCTTTTTGCATTAAACTGACACTGTATCAACGACCACTTTTCTCCTCGGCATTGGGTGGCGGTCAATTTCGACTGTATATGAAGGTCAAGGGTTAAACAAGTGTTGTCCCTAATTGCTATTGGTCATTATCTTCTTAAAGTGTACTGTCTTGGGGCTGTCAACTTCCTTACATAATGTGATGTATAAATCTCTTAAGCATTAGCTGGTATAGCCCATATTAAGTAGACAATGAGAACTGAGGCAGTGGTTAATGTCATGCATGTTTACACTCCCTCGCTTTGTTGGCTAACAGATGTTGCCCAAAGCAGTGCGTCCAAGAAGTTCCTATAGATACTCAAATGTTTCCTCATAACCGTTTGTGTGCTATTCAGGCAAATGATGGTGATCAAGAAGGCACGAATAACTCAAAAGTCTTCTACAAAATTGAATCTTCAATCCCATCGAGTGTGATCACGCAGTTTCAGTGAGTACTAAAAAATATTCTATTCTTCTTGCACATTTTTGTCCAAAAAAGTGGAACAGCATGGGTCTAAATTCTTAAATTTAGAGGTATAATAATTTATATAAAAGTCACAGAATATCATGCAGCTGTGACATGACACTTTTATGGTAACATGAGCATTATATCTATGTTTTTGCCCTGAACTATTGTATTTCAGTCTTTTTTTGTTTTTACTTTTGAAAGTTTTGCTACTGTTTGTCAAAAGAACTTTTGTGTTGAAATGAAATATTTGTCCCTTAGTCGACAAAAACAAATCAAAGAAGGAAATCCTATCAAAGAAAGTAGAAAGCCTACTCACTTGTGTTTGTGTGTATGTTTATGTGTGTTTGTTTGTGTGCTTAGGCCTATGTTTATTTGTGTATTATGTATATGTTGTGTTTCTGTGTGTGCATGCATGTATGTTTGTGTGTGTTTGTTGGGGTTGGGGCAGGTTATGATGACAGTATAGATGCCAAAAATGCAGACAATTACCTTATAACCATCCAGGTTCCCTTTTTTTCTCCCCCCCCCCCCCACCATAGTTTTATGTTAGTAAGAGTCTACATGTTCTTCACTATTGAAGCTTGAAGGCGGTCTATTGCAACCTGCATCGTTCCGTGTTGACCTACAGCCCACTCAAACACTTGTAATATCACAATGAAATAAGCGATTGTCAAAATACGGAAATCGGAGAAACCGACAATTTATGGCCCCTTGGCTCATCGGCAATTTTTTCTATGGTGGGGGGGGGGGGGGGGGGGCTTAACGGCTTTTTGTCCTTTTAAAGACACATGTCTGTGTGAATTTTACCGAAGAATGTCAAAAATAAAATGTATATTTTTTGGTTGGAATTCACTAAACTTAAGCTGCCAATTTCTTGCTTATTTTACCTCTGACTCTGACACCAGGTGAACCCCTCCTTTTTTAATCGCAAATATCTCGACTTCTATTCAAGAAAGATGGGTATTTTTTTCCCAAAAAGCAAGACAAATGAGTTTCTTTAAGATGATACCATTAGCTTCATATAGCCAAAAGTTTACGAGCTCCTGGTTCCATTGTGTCTTGACACATATTCTTCCAAAAGGTAGTCAATGTAGTTACATTGCATTTCTTCCATGCTCTAAAGTTTTATAAAATAGTGCACAGTTGCATTTTCTGGAATGTAAGACATTATAGGCTGATTTACTAAAATAATGTAGTTCGTTACAAAATAATGTTCTACTTGATTATTTTACCCGCTCTTTTAACGTGTGGGGGGGGGGGTCATGTCTCCTTTGGTGATACTGACAGACACCAGGTTACTCTTGCTTATATAGCATGTGAAGAACAAAGGAATGCTTTTCTGTCTCTAAATCAAGACAAGAATGAAAAGGTTCAAAACGTACTATATCGGAGTTATAGGTTTGGGTATTTTTGTCATTCTCTTTTCCTTTGAGTTAAATGATTGGGTTTTTTTTTTAGTTTGCTACTTATATGCTTTTCCTCATCTGTTTTGTTGATGTTTGATGCATCAATTTATTGTTTGTTATAGGCCTGCTTGTCAGTTCTGAAGAATTTTGCATAATAATCAATTTGATAAACTTTCTGTTTTCTTTCTATAAAGTTTGGATCAGGCAAGTGGTCTTTTGACAGTCAAAACACCCCTGAAGTATGAGGAGGTCCAGTTCACCAAAGATGAGGAGGGCAGGATTTCACTTAATATTTCTGCTACAGATAATGGTATTCCCCCCAAAAAGAACTTCACTACAGTGTCTGTTCAGTTACAGGTAAGAACTATGGTATGAGAGGTAAGAGTTCAGGACATCTGAATGTAAAATTTGCCCCAGGCAGTGACAAATTTTCTTTAGTATTTTCATTGGCTTTGAAACTTTGAGGAAAAGTTCAGTCACTGGTGTCTTAGTAACAGTACAACAAAGTATCATGAGTTGATAAAAAGGTTTTTTTTTCCCTTTGAGCTGCAATTGTCAAAGGACATAGTCCAGAAGTTTTTGTCTAGTTTTGCACTATAGAGTAGCCTATTTTATGATTAAATGGAACAGCTTATGGAACAACACAGTAACCAATGATTTTGTTTATGTCACAGCTGTCGAGATCATATTTGGGTTAAAAAAATGCTTTGATACAGTGTATGTTTTTTGTAATAAAATTTAAGGGGTGGTGGGGCACCTAAAAATGGTGTTTGGCATGGAGTGAAATTATGAAAACTGGGGTTATCACCTATTTTATTTCCTGGACATTTCCTGAACAATGTCCAAAAAGTATATATATACGGTGTTTTTCTCTAACCGTGCAACTGGTTTTGGGGAAATGTTTCAGGAGAGAGTAATAACATATTTCTCGAATAATAACTTCCCAAATTTGTTCGATTTTGTTTAATTAGTCTTGCTAGAAAAGGACTACCCGTACCCTCATTGTTATTCTTTATGAAAAAGTTACATCATTTAGCTGGATTTCCAGTTACGCTGTCATCGCACAAAATATTGTCGGGCACGAACACGGTCAGAGAGACGCACGGTTAGAGCACGGCAGAATCAGCCACAGGAACCAGCTAGGCGTTAAGGGAGCAGCCAGTTACACGATTAGGTTTCAAAGGCAATGTGTGTGTGTGCGTGTGTTTGTGTGTGTGTGAGTGTATGTGTGTGTGTGTGTGTGTGTGTGTGTGTGTGTGTGTGTGTTTTTGTATGTGTGTACTTGTGTACTTGTGTACTTGTGTTTTGTGTGTTTGTGTTTTGTGTGTCAAAATGAGCGTAAAGAGCAAATTGCCATTTGCATTCATTAACGTTGAAATTGCTCACATGAAAATGGCTTGCACTTGTATACATTCACAATATGTTAACTGGCATTTGAATGCATTCCAATAATTTACATCACTCAATTTATAAATGATAAGCTGGACAGTGATATCTGGTACGGTTACATTATAACCAGTAAACTTACAGCTTACAGTCATCATCATCAAGTGCCAGATCTGCGACAGTCATCGGCGATCATGGTTTTCCATTCATTCCTTTGCCCGGACATTACCCTGATCTTTTCCTGTCACCGATCTGTTTAGGTTATCCAAGTAGGTTGCTCAAAGCCTACCCCTGCCTCGTTTGCCTTCAAAAGGATTCAATTATATTCCTAGATATTACAGTGCCCTGCCACATTTTGTTTGGTTTAAGAGATACTGACACTTTGAATTTGAATGTTCTAGGGCTAGAAAGTTAATCATGTGGCAGAGTATCATAAGAGGCATGGAAATCTAGCGTATGACTTCAGTTCTTGCAAATACTTATATTTTGATGCAACAATTGGAAGTGTGTTGGGATTAAGTGGAACAGGACCTCGAATGAAAAAAAGTTGACTCTTCATGTTTTGTAGAAGTGGTTCCCAGTCATCTGCAAAACTCAGTTTAAAAATTATCTCACTACACTAGTTGGTTCATAATGCAGAGCCTTGATGTCAACAACTGGATCACCTGGCCTGATCGATCTGAGGGCACGACATGTCGCTAAAAAGTTCATTAAAAAATGTGTGCTCTAGGCTGTTTTCAAAGGCTGCAGGCTTTCTTCCTCTGCCGAAGACTTGTTCAAATACCCCAGACCATCTATATCTTGTGCCACCCGATCTCTTTCTCTTTCGATTTTTGTCTCCCCTAACATCGCTGACCTCTCCAGTTGACAAACCGTCGATAATTATGCTTTTCTGTACCTTAAAGCGGTGTTTGAAAGGATTTTAGAGTAGACGGTAAAGACTTTTTTGAGGAAAACAATTTCAGTTTTTGTCTCAAAAAGCTTATTTTGTACTGCTTATATGCTTCAGTTTTAGTAGGAAACCCCCATTTTATTTCTGCTGTGTTAATATTATCAAGAAGTTGGCATGTTTTGGTTGAAATAATGTGTTTTGAAGTTTTAATCTGAAAAAAGAACTATTTTGGCCTTTTCTCACCTTTATCAGCTATTTTTCCACACTTTACTTCATCCAATTTTTTTGCTTTTATTCATTCTATTTCAATAATTTTCACAGGATATTAACAACACCTAGTTCTAAAAATTGTCCAGAAGGAGTTTTGGTTGCATATTGTGTATCTTTGATAAATGGCTTCAGAAAGCTTGATTTTTCCTTTTTTTTTCATAGTATAGCAGAGTTTTCATCATCCTCACCAATGCCTTTCACCCCTGGAAGGATATAGGCCACATACAAGCTTCTTCCATTTATCTCTGTCCTGGGCCATCCTTCCAAGCTCGTTCCAAGTGAGCTTCATCTCACTCATGTCCCTTTCCACGCATCTCCTTCATGTTTCCCGTGGCCTATCCCTGCTCCCTGTGGGTTCCACTGCTGTGACTGTCTTGTGATGTTTCCGCTGGGCTTTCCGAGGGTATGTCCCATCCATCGCCACTTTCTTAGTCCTATTTCTACTTCTATATCCTTTTGTCCTGTCCTTTCCCACAGCTCTTCATTTCTTATTCTATCCTGCCACTTAACTCTTAGGATACTCCTCATACATCTGTTGATGAAAGTCTGGACTTTATTCAGTACTGTCTTTGTTGTCTTCCTAGCTTCGCAGCTGTAGAGGAGCACAGAATTGACATTGGAGTTATAAGAGTCGAACCTTAGTGCGTAGTGAGATGTTGCTTGTTTTCCAGACTTTTGATAATTGAATGCTGACCTTGCCTTGGCGGTTCTTGCTTTTACATCTGCCTCAGTTCCACATTTACCATCGATGGCACTTCCATAGTAGGTAAAGGAGTCCACTTCTTCCACTGTCACAGCAGAGTTTAAAACTTTTACTAGCTTCACGACTTTCTACTTGCCCGGATGTATACATAGGCCAACACTCCTTGATAGTCTTTTGAGCTCTTTGATCTTTTCTTGCATCTGAGCATCGTACATGTGTTTGAGAGAGCAGTGCAAAAGCCGAGTTTTAAGTGCCATCAAAGGAAAACTATACCATATGGCAAAAAATCCTCTGGACAATTTTTAGATATGCACTTTTTCTATGTACATATGTCAAATTAAAAGTGTATTTAATTTGTTGATAAACAAGTGAATAAAACGAATCAAAATATGTAAACAAAATCCAATATGGCCGCTGTTTCCATAGCAACAGAACCATATTTACTTTTTTTAACAATTGATTTCAAATCCCCAATAATACATGATGTCCCACAGCAAATATTGGATTTCTAAGGTTTGTTATAGCAGATATAGCTTTCAGGTGCCGGACCCCCTCTTGAGCTGAATGTCAGTCATGTCTTAGTCTTTTTTAAGCAAGTGACCCCACTTTTTTTGGGTGCACTGTTTGATTTATTTGAATGTTTCCAGACTAATGCTAGAGTGGCTTAAGTAATACCCCTTTCTGAATTTAAGTTTATAGGTCTCTGTAAACTGTAATGTGTCTAAATGAAAAGGTTCTTTAGAACCTAAAATGATATTGGAAAAATTGTTGACCTCACTCTAAATTCACTTAACAATGTTTGTCTTTTCAGGATGTGAATAATCAGAGTCCGTCTTGTGAACAAATGAGCTACAGTGTGCAGATTCCAGAGAATGTGTCTGCATGTATGTTCTTTAATTTACAAAATTGCAAACAACATTAAATGTAACTGAGGAAAATCTATAGGGTCTCTAGGTTTTTATCCTTTGTTGAAAGCATATATATATATATATACAGTGTCGTCCAAAAGAAACTTGAAAATGGAACCACCCAATCATCGTGTTAAAGCCTTGCACCACCCACTCATGCAGCATACCAGTTTAAAGCTAAATAGATTTTGCATCATCTGTCACATTAATAGTTCATCTATGTTTAGAGATGCTTGGGATATGGTCACTCAAAACTGACGTTAAAAAATCAGGCTTGGCAAAATTGTGCAAAGTCTAAGAAACATAAAATTGTCTTCGCACATGTATTGAGGTGCATCAACATTGATGGAATGGGCTTGTATTGAATTATGCTGGGCTGCCTAAATCTACCGATTTTTCTGGTAGATACCGATTTTGGGCCTGTTCTACCGATAAGGTGTTAAAACTACCGGATTTGTGATGGGTGCCTAAAAAAGAAAAAGAAAAGAAAAAAACATCCTGCAGTGCTTCCATTCTTCTTCGTTTTTGCATAAATCCGTACATTCCGAAAGTTCCGTACTTGCCGCATCATCATATCACCTCCATGCGTTAGAGAGAGAGAGAGAGAGAGAGAGAGAGAGAGAGAGAGAGAGAGAGAGAGAGAGAGAGAGAGAGAGGGAGGGAGGGAGGGAGAGAGAGAGAGATAGAGATATCAGCACTTGCCACCGTAACTTGTCAGCTATTTACGGCAACTCTCGGCAATAAGTTGTATTAGAAACTGCCAGATTGGGCATTTCGTACACTCAACCGTTATCTATCTGTGCTGTTTGGTCGGCAATAGTTTTTCACGTGCATATCTGCCAAAATCTGTCTACTCACGATAGATATAATCTTCCTCCTTTTCATTCATTCTTTCTTTCTGTCTTCATTTGGGTTTTGATGCGGCTGGAAAATCTGTGCATTAAATTCATTTATCTAGAAAACAGAATTGTGAATGTAGAAAGAAAATCGGTATCGAAACAAAACATTCCAAAATCTGTCTTGGTCTAGAGAATTGGTCACAGTACCAAATGAGGATTCTACGCAAGGAGACTGCGGGAATTATTACCCGGGAATTAGATTTACAGTTAATGAAAATTTGTAACCTGCAGTTTGTGCATAAAAAACACAGTGTCACCATACAAATTAAATCGATTTTCTCACTGATGTCACTATAATGACAAAAAAAGGAAGAAAAAGAAAACAATAAGCGTCCTCCGATTTCTAGATTGTCAGGCCCGTCATCATGACCGGTCAGTGAACCTGTGAGAGTTCATGAGTATGGCATGAGTAAGGGACTGGCTGGTGGTTGTTGGGGTAATAAAAGTTCATTCAAAGTTGGAGCGTTGCAGGGCTTCGGAATTGAGGGGAGGTATTTGACGCTATAAAGTCTACGGCAGCAGGGAAAGGCCGCGGTGCAAGAGACTGAGGATAAAATAAAAACAATAAGTGGAAGTGGTTTTGACAATCGAGTGCATAAATGAGGGAACATTAGAGCACAGGCTTGATGATTGTATCTTCAAGGTTGTAGTTCCCGGATTTGTCGGATTTGTCAGTGATGACAAATTAAATAGTGGCAATGAGGAAATGACATTTGTAACCCTCGGAAAGCTCTATGTTGGATGCCTATGCATCATGATGGCTTGTTGCTGATTAAAAACTGGTACTGTGATTTAGCATTTTGAAAAAAATCAATACTTAGTCCATGATGCAGTGATTCATTGAGTGATTGCCAGGGTTTCAGCATCACTAATCCTTACTATCGTCATTTTACCTCTACTTCTTTTGTATGTTTGTCACACTCTTGTGATCAGCTCTTTCTGGGGTGCCTTGATAGTTGAAGCAGACTTTATGCTGTTGAAACTAGAGAGGTGAGAAGAGTAAGCCTGATTCCTTGTAAGGACTTCTGTCTTGACATCCACCCCTTGGTGTTCATATGACCCTATGCTGTTGCGAGTGCAATAAAACCTCTACTAAAACTAAAAGACTGAAAATGATATCTGGATGACAATAGCTGTCTTTTAGTTTTGGTGCTCCCAGTAATTTTTGTTTCTCCAATTGTTTCCAAAGCCTTTCTTTTCTGCCTTTCTTTTCAGCCTTTCTTTTTCAAGAGCGAATATCATGTTATGTGACTTCTAAAGCATTTATGAATGCATTTTTAAACAAACTGTTGTAGCTTGAATTTTATCTCAGTATATGAAAGAGGTATTTTACTTTTTTTTCAGTGATTGTATTTTTTGTTTTGCAGCTTACATCGTTCAGCACATAAATGCCACAGATGAGGACAAAACATCGCCAAATAATTTGACTGTTTTCCGCATTGATGATAAGAGTGTCGAAGTATTCAGTATTGACTTGAATGGGACTTTGTCAGTGAGAGGGATTCTGGACAGAGAGACCATACCCCACTATGATATCATAGTTACAGTCTCTGACTTGGGTAACCCATCACTCAGTGGGTCCTGTTTTGTGAGTGTGAATGTGACAGATGTCAATGATTCCCCACCTACTTTTGACCAGGTATGAATATTTGAAATATGCCTTAAGATGTGTGTTTTACATTTCCCTCCTTTGGAAGCACTTCTGTTTCCAGCTTAGATTTTAAAATTTTGGAGGACTTTCGTTAAACATATTTCTTGATGTTTCAGATTTTCTGAACAAAGATGTTTACTAAAGTATTCAGTGAAATACTCGGTGGTTGACAGTTAACCTCAGGCAATTGTCCAGGAAGGTCAAACTGAAAGGGAAAAATTTTTAATACTCGATTACACCCTCTATTAAACTGCAGCGAACCTGAGATAAGTGGGATACAGTATTCCAGCAGAGAGATGGAAAAAACAACTCTACAAAATAAACTTTCCCAGACTCTTGTCTTCCATGTGTAAGGTAAAGAGTTTATTGATGACATCAAAGACACAGTTCCTGCTCTCTTTGTAGGCTACTCCTAGATGTCAGATGCTGGAATCAAGATTGTAGTAATACCAGTGACCATTGTAGAAACATCCTCACCTTCCTGGTAAATGTGGGAGTGTCATCAGCTCAGTTGGTATCATGCTGGACGTGTCGCAGATGGTTCTGGTTTGAATCCCTGAAGTGGGGTTGTGAACTTTGGTTGTTTGATGAGTTATCATGATAATCTACCTGCTTGGCCGCACGTATTGGAGATGAACATTAAATGTGGAGTGCCTGCCTCGTAAATAACTTGATTTTACTTTACTTTTTCTGTCCTCTTGTATCGCAAGGTATCGAGGGGAGATGCAATTGTGGACCAAATGTTTTATCCTTTGGATCGTATTTTTCCTTTAAACCAATAGCGTACTATACAATATTGGTATAGTTTTGGTCTTGGCTTGAAAGGCACTGTCTTCTTAATCGTCTCCTTTGCTCTTTTGGCATTATATGACAACCTTCTGTAATTTGATTACACTTCGGGCTCATATTCACTTGCTTCTCTCATGTCCTCATACCAGAAGGCCATCATGCTTCTTTAGTTCTATATCATATTCAATTAATAAATATGACCATTAGTTGGTGCTTTACCAAGCAAAACTGCCCATTTATCTGTTCTGACCTATGCTGTTATATCTTTTGGCTTCAAACAGTACAGATCTAACATTTTAAAACCCAGCAAAAGTGGGTGGTTAGCAGGTGCTCTGGTGTGGTTTGCTCCTCCTTTGGTGGTAAACATATGTCGTCCTTATCTCTCCTCCTTTGTTTTTGTTTGCTCTGTTGTAACAGATATAATCTTTGGCATTTATATGACCTTATTGTGTTGTAAGTGCTGTAAAACGCTTACTAAAACAAAAAAGCAACCTAACCAGGCTAAAAATTTGTAGTCATTCAAGGCTTAAGGGTAAAACAAGCCTCTGGTCAAGGTCTAAGGCAGCTGTATAATACTGTTAATTTATTGCCTAACACAAAGCAGTAACAGGGAGCTGTTCACCAAAGAAATTAAAGGGAAAGCTGAGACTATGACGAAAGGATTAAAACGGCGTGGAGTATGAAAAAGGGATGGCTTTGGTTTAAAGAAAATGACAGCTTTAAGAGAAAAAAAAGGATAATTGAAAAAAGTCGTAACATTTCACTTCGGCTATGCAGCACTAAGACTTTTATATGAGGGAAACAGTATTGTGTCATTGTCACAGAGGACAACTTTCATATTCCCTATTATCCTTTGAAACTGTAGGAAATTTCAGCATGAATAAGAGTCAGTTTCGAAGGTTTAACAATGTTATAAAAAGCTAATTTTACTGTAAAAACACATGAAACTGAAGTTGTCCTGAAAGATTACTTTTAACTCATTCGCTATGCCTAGCCGTGGGGGGATTCTATTCCAATCCACATCCATGTTAAAATAGAGGTTATAATATAATGTTGGCTTCCAGGTCAAGCATTTCCACTGAAAATCGGAAATTTAGATTCAGTTTTGAAACGCGATTTCGTAGTTTATTTGACTTTGTTTTATCGCGATGCCAAAATTATAACCCGGACACCAGTCTTAGTAATTTTACACAACAAAATCTATCATTATTTTGCCCACTTAAAAAAACGTAGGACTCTGTTTGATAATATTGATACGATTGGACTCATTTTGCCAATGCACTGTTATTGAGAAATTTTATAATATTGATACGATTGGACTCATATTGCCAATGCATTATTATTGAGAAATCAATACCTTTGAGTGCTAGATCTAGATCTAGGTCTAGATCTAGATCTAAATTGTCAAAATATTTTTTTCTCCCCAAAATCACTACTTTTTGATGAAATTACACAAAAGTGCCACTCAAGACACGTATAGGTTTATTCCAAATGCAATTCTGAATAATTCCATATAAGATATACGAGTGGGTTTTTTTCTGTTTGTGATGGTTTTTCTAGATTATAATTATTTTTTTTCAATATTGGATGTTATGTTCAAAATGTGCAAATATTATGGAATGTAGGTAAATAACTGCAAACATTTCAATATTTTCCAGTTCTATATTCATTTATGGTTATTTTGAAGTATCATTTGACTAGGTGCAAACATATTTTTTGAGTTTCACCAAAGATTATTAATTTTTTATTTTTAAATTTTATCTGCATCCAATCAAAATTGTGTTGCATAATCGTCTCTTACAGGAACCAAAGTTGAAAAATACATAAATAAACATTACAGATGTATTCTACAAACCATACTGAAAATATTGGTGTATAATACATTGATATTTATTTGAATTTGTGGCCCTAAAGACCTTTTAACTGCCCACTAGTTATCATCTCATTCGCCCTCCCGAAAAAAAGTTCGTCCACAAGCCGAAAATAATACGTAGCAAATGAGTTAAGAAAGACAATTTAATTGACCTTTGTTATGAGTTTTATTACACACACGCTTGAGTGTGGTCCCATTTTATTTCCCCAGAGACAAATGTCAAAATCTATTCAGGAAAATAAAAAGTTTGACTTATCCTGCCATGCAAGTGATGATGACAACAATTCTGATCTTGTATACACAATTGACTGGGACAAGAGCACAGGAAAAGATGGTGGGAATAAAGATGTAACTACTGAGATATTAAAGGCGAGTTGATTATTTTGATCTTTCAATTAGTGCCACATCTCTATCTCCGTTCAGTCCCCCCAATCCCCGCCCAAAGTTCCTCTCACTGTTTGTTTCTGTGTCTGTCTGAACCAATCCCATGTTCTATATCTCACTCCCTCTCTCTCTCTCATTCTATCTCTGTCTGTTTTCCCTCTACACTCACATGAGCACTCGTGCTTTCATTGACATTGATACAGTCAAGCATGCACATTGCGCAACGCGCGCGTAGGAAACAGATTTTCACGTCCCCAATTTTTTCTTATACATGTATATTCTTGGTATTTAAACTACGTACATGAGTAAAATTAATACATAATGAAAAAATTTCCATTTCTCACCCTTTTTGCCATGTCCGTGCCATGCTAGACTTGTTTGTTTTTGTATATGGATTTGTCATGTTTTTACAGGAAATGTGAGTATGAATTGCTTGTTTAAAAACCCGGTTAATGAGTGTTCTCATTAACTCAATCAGTATTCTCTCCATAAAACAATGCACATTCTGGGATTCTCTGTTTTTATTGTACTTGAATTAACACATAACATTTGTTTGAATGTTTGGAAAAAAATCTTTGGTTTTCAATATCATTTTTTATGGAACCTATTTCCGTCTGAAAGGAGAAATTTTCTTTTCATGCATTTTGTAGTTTATTAACAGGTTACTGTTATATTTTTCCTTCAGAAATTCTTTGAAATACCAGATATTGGTACCTGCAGAATTGTTTCAAAGATAAATTTGGATCGGGAGCAGCTCAGTCAGGTGTCTCTTGCTGTTTCTGTGCAAGACCTCAATGGTATAGAATATCAGGTGGACACAGGTAACTTTTGTTAGCTTTTCACAAAATCCATCGTGTTGCCTAGTGGAATTTGATGAGTATGAGAGGAGGGTTTGAAATCTATGGTGGGCGGTGTTTATTATGTAGTAAAGCCAAAGTCAGTACTTTACAGTTGTACAGATGGTTTTGTGGAAAGGGCAAAGAAAGGCTTAAATGCAGTAAAGGTCATGGCTGCTTCAGGAATGGAACAAAGGCTACTTCTTCTTATGTATCAGCAGCTGATCTTAGCAGTAATCGATTATGGGCTCGCAATATTGACCTTGACAAAAACCCAACAGGACTAGTTGGTTCGAGTTCAAAATGAGGCAATGCGCATCATACTAGGCTGCACCAAGGATACGCCAATTATCTGTATGAGGCATGTATTGGGCCTCCTGTCTGTGGAAAACAGAAACAAAGTGGCACAGGTCAGGGTGTACATGAGGGTGGCGGCTGAAAAGCAACACCCACTTCATGAGGCCATAGGAGCAATCACGGGAAATTGCCTAAAAGGAGGAGCTTCTTGGATGGCTGAGGCTGAAAACACCACCAAGGAAGTCTGCCCACTGGAAGATATACAGCGGGGTGAAGAATGGATAAAGATGAATGAGAGACAGAAGGCAGATCTTGGGAAGGTAGTGATAACACTGAACAGAGAATGTAGAGAGTGGCCGCAGGGAGCGACAGATGCTGAGATAGGACTACTGATTGAAGACAACTCACGGCGTGGAGATGTGGTTGTATACACAGATGGATCTGTTAAACAAGGGGAAAAATCTGTATGGGGCTTCTCTGCAAGAGTGAGTGGCAGATTGGTGCAGCAACAGCAGAGAGCATACGATATGAAAACATCTAGCATGAAAATGGAGATTGAGGCAATCACACAGGCTCTCAAATGGGTTACAACAACTCGACAAGCACATGCAATAGGAAGATTGAAAGTGGGAACCTTACAGCTGAATGGACAGAGCCCCTGAAGAAGACGACACTGAAAAAGATCACGAGGATCTTTAACCCGGGCCATGCTGGAGTCAAGGGCAATGAGCAGGCTGATGAGCTCGCTGGGAAAGGAAAACCTGAAAGAAAGCTGTGCCCTGACAAACCTGAAATTGTGCGTTCAGTCAGGGAAAAACGGGAAAAAGAACAAGAAGAATCGGAATGCCATCATCTTGAGCAAGTTCGTGAGCTTGGAATTGGATGGGGCGCCTGCAGAAGTTCAAGACTTAGTGGGAGGAGCAGAAGGCTATGGAATCAAACATTGCTTGGAACCTTCAGCATCTACACACTTCCAGATGTGCTTCTTCAGGGGACGGAGCGCTTATTGGGATGCCCCTTGTGCAGTGATGTCAGTCCTTCACACAAGTAACAAGTGTACAGTCTGTTTCATCAAAGTGATGTTGCCATTCACTCTTTAGCTTCTCGGAAGGGGGTGGGGGGAACCCACTATGCCAGCAGGGCCCTCTTTTGGTACGAAATCTATAAGTGACATATACGTCACTAAATTGGTCATTACATCAAAACAAATTAACTTAATATGTTGATAGTTTTTCAGCTAATGAAAGAACTCACAAAAAAAGAGACCCATTTTCGGCAATTGCTGGAGAATAATGCAACATCGAAAAGGAAGATGCCTGAGCCGCTGACATCTGGCTCCCAGCAGCTTGCCAGAGATAAGGAGTTAAAGAATGGAGCGGCTGAATTGAGGGACTATTTGTTCAGCAGAAATTTAATCAGGGAGAGGTTTGGTGATGGATACTGCTCATAGCCTCAGTCTGAGGAGAGCAAACTAGCATTAAAGCAATAGACTGATGGAGCATGGAAAGCCATAGGTAAGGCTTTGGCTTTTCAGATTTTGTCAGTAAGGACAAGTATGCAAAATAGTTTAATTGTAGTGGCTGATAGGCGCTTCCCCTCCTCCAAATAATCAGAAATAAGAAATGACACGTAATAAAAAAAACTGGATAAATCTGATTTTGCCATGAACTTTTTGTTTTATTTACGTATATAAAGATACATATTGGCAGTGGTTAGAATTAAGAAAAGAATCACATTTGGGCAAAAGAAGTTTAAAGCATTTAGCCAGCTTCTCCATGAAATTTTTCTCACAATATAACCAGCAAAGGAAAGCTACTGTCACAGTCATAGGCTTTTGTTGGTTAGAACTTGGGGATCACATCACAATGAAAAGATATTCTGTTTGCGTGCACCATTTAGAATAACTGCCCGCTGGCTCTAGTCCGAGTGCAGACATGTATAGTATTATTATGCAGAGCTTGATTACCTTTTCCATTGTCAATCAGTTGATGCATATTTAAGTTAGCTGAACAGAGTATGATATTGTACTGTGAATGTGTTTGCAAAATCCCCAGATTCGCGTCAAAAGCGCTGACTTTCATGGCCATTCTAGATCCTTGACATGCTGATGTTGATGGTTCATGGACCAGCTCTTTGGTCCTCCTTGTGAAAAATAATAATGGAGAACAGAACTGCTGAAAGTGCTTGTCAATAATATTATTTTGTTTATTTGGGCTCAAAATGTAAAGAACAGCAGAACATCAGGGTAATGTGCCATAGATCTACTTTCAGTATTTTGTTGGGTGTATGGTATATCCTTAAATAAGGTGGAGGTTATCTTCCAGAACTTCCAGTGATGGGAGAAAATCTTTGATGTTGAAACGATATGATATTTATTATGTATTTTACGCCTTTATAAACCCTCCACTCATTCTTATAAACCTCTTTCAAGCTCTTATAAACGTTGTCTAACTTGGGAGTATGAGGGACCAAGGTTAATTAATTAAAAAATAAAACATTTGAATATTTTGGCATTCTTTATCTGTACTACTGCTGTTGTTCTATAAATAGTACATAATTATATTTAACACCTAAAAAGGCAACATTTACTGACACAAGACTTAACTCAATTTCTATTATCCGAGAAAGCGCATTGAACTAACAACTGAAGTAGGTGGTTGTTGTATGCTCCTTCTTTCCTATTAAAAATGTAACATCTATCGTCCTTATCTTTCCTCCTTTTTTTGTCTGTCACTCTCTTGTAACACCTCTAATCTTGGCTTTTATATGACCTAATTGTATTGCAAGTTTTGTAAATCAAAACCCTTCCCCAAATAACAACTGAAAATATGAAACACGATATCTGCTTTCACTTGATAAATACAGTAAGTTGAGGTGCCCAGTAATATCCCTTGGGGTAATATAACATATTGGACAACCTACACATTGCCTCTAGTATTAGCTTACTCTGAGCGATTGATATTAGCACTGTGAATATATTGTAATGTCATTTTAATCGATCAAACTTATCTGAAGCAGGTTGGTCTTGAGAGAATTTGTGACCTAATTTTTTTCAAACACACAAGTGCACATACACACACACACATACAGCACACACACATACAGCACACACACACACACACACACACACACACACACACACACACACACACACTCACACACACACACACACACACACACACACACAAACACTCACACACATATGCACTGGAATACTCACATACTCTCATTCACACATGCACACTCACACACACACTGATCTTTCATGTTATTTTTTTCCTCAGCTCATCTTTCCATTTCTGTTGAGGATGAAAATGATGAAACCCCAACTTTCAACAGTCATACTTTCATGGCATCAATAAGGGAAAATTCTCCTGTTGGAAGCTCTATTCAGTTTCACTCACCAGATTCTATGATAGTCAAGGATAAGGATAAGGTAGGGAAATTCTGTCTTTAGGGTTGATTTTTTTTTCTCCATTTCTTTCCTGCATAAAATGCAGAAACTAAATAATGACCTGCAAACAATCATATTATGGCAGCCTTTAGTTTACTTTGAAATGAATCTTGAAACAGAATTTCATGGTTGACCAAGGGTCTTCATCTTTTGGAATCTGTCTGTTTAATGTAGAAGATATCCGTTGCGTTGAGTGTGGACAAAAGTTACAGGGAATGTGGAGTAAATGGGGGATGGAGTGGGGAATGTGTGCACCTGCCAGAACTATATATTTGGTCTAAAAAATGTTTTTCCCATTTGCCTATAATGACCAGGTCCCATTACTCTCTCTGTATCATAATATGTGTGTGAAAGGGTGGGTGGGCCTGTCATAGTGTGTTGCTTGTTTGTGGCACTTGGCTGTTTTGAGATATTGGAGGAAATGTTTCTGACTCCCTAACTTCAAGTGACTATAACTTTGGAACCGAAGTAGATAGACCAATGCTGTTTACACACACACACTTAGAGCTAAAACTTTATTTTAGTCTAATACTCATAGCCTTATACATGTATTGTCAAAATGTGACATGTTACTTATTTTGTTGCATTGCTAGACACATTATATTTATGATTTGGAACACTGTAACTACTAATACTAATTTTTATTTCCAGCAAGTGTTATAGATATGACAGGATTATGTCACTCTACATGATACCTTGACCTCTTTGGAAAGTGGACAAATGGTCCTCGTTTGGGCAGTTGAGAGAAAATCGTTCAAGTGACAGGAAAAGTTAACACTGACATGGATTTGAACTATGATGTTGACATACTGTCAAATTTGATACTGACCTTATTACTACCACCAGTATTTCTTTCACTTACAGTTCAAGTCATTGCTTTCTTCAGTAAAATTACAAATCTAATATTTTAGTACGATACCAATCTTTATATTTTTCAGGGTAATAACAGCTTTTTTAAAGTTGAGCTTCTGACATACTCGGACATATTCAAGCTCACACCTGAGGAAGGACAGTCAGACCTGACGGTTTCCATAACAGTAGCTGACCAAGATAAAATAGATTTTGAGAAACAAAATGAATTGACGCTTAAAGTAAGTTGGATATCTGCACTCGGGGGGAGGGGGGGTGGCGGGAGCTCTGGTGTGGTTTGCTCTATCTTGCCTATCAAACATCTATTGGCATTATCTACTTTCCTGTGTATGTTACTCTCTAGGCACATCTTTAATCTTGGGCACTTATGTGACCTTATTGTGTTGGGAATGCTGTAAAGGGGATGGGGGCGGGGCAGGGATGTGGGTAACGATGAAGAAGAGACAAGACGCTGTTGGTTTTGTTAATGACAGTCTTAACATTGTATTTACAATTTGTTATTTTCACTTATCATGTTTTTTCCATTTTGTGGTATTAGTGTCAATGACCATCAAAATGAGATGTAAAATGCCCAAAGCAATTTTCTGCAGAGAGCTCGAAAGATGCCAAAAGGGGAATTAATTTTGATGAGAATTGTTTCAACATTTTCTTGTATGGTTTTGATGTCTTAACCTTTAGTTCTGGTTAAAGTTTTTGATGATTAAATATAGGTGTCTTTGCGCCCCCAATGACACAGTTTAGATCATTTTGGAGGCGTGCCTGCCTGTCAGGGCCAACTTGGACTGAGAGGGATACAGCAGAAAGACTGAGATACTTGATCCCTTATTCCTCCTACCTTATTCACTGTTTCTACTACTCTTATCTTGTCCCTTCTACTCTTATCCTTTATTGTTCTTGCTCTCATTCCAGCTATACTTATCTTTTATTCCTCCTTCTCCTATCTCTTATCCCTCCTCTTATTCTTATTCTTCTCTTGTATTTCTCCTATTCTTATTCCTCCTACTCATATCCCTTATTCTTCCTCTTATTCCTTGTTCCTCTTACTCTTACTCCTACCTTTATGCCTTATTTCTCATTATTTTATTTGACAACGTTTCTTTATAATATGTTTAGCTACGTTTTGTTTTGTTTTTTTCTTGTTTTTTTTTACCAAACAGGTTGTCCTCAACGAGATTTCTACTTTTTTATACTTATTTCTGTGCGTAATTCTTTTCCTTGGGACATTTCAAGCCTGTGGAAACTAGCATTGTGAGGTGTGCTGACAAAATGAGTTACTTCTCGCACTCCATAAATGAAGATATTGGCCTAATATCTACTCAAGGAAGGGTAAAATTTGTAGATTTTCAACTGGTGCCATTTTCTTCAAGTTTAACATGATTTTATCATTTCATTATTATAGATTATTCTAACTCAACCTATAAATTTGACGTACATGTCCATCCAGCCGAATTTCAAGAAGTAACTCATTTTGTAAGCAAATCATAAAATATATATCGTTAACCGCGTGATTCAGCTGCCTAAGTGCCAAGGGACAAATTTTTCAGGAAAAGCAAAAAACTGTTTTATTTCGTTATGCTCGTACTTATGAATCTGAAATTCAGATATATAATATAATATGTAGCAGGACGATGGTCAGTAACCAACTTTTAAAAATAAAAGCCTTCTTTCATAAGTTACTGGACATAGGCATTTTATAACTTCCAAAATCTGCCTCATTCAACCGTCTTAGTGACAGTATGATGGCGTCTAGGCATTTGAATCACGTTAATCAACGCTACTCGACGACCGCCAATGGTCGTTTGCTCGTTTGAGTAATCAACAAACGCAGATCATAATAGTTTTTAAGAGTAATTATAAAGTAAAGAGTAATTATTTCAGTTATTTGGTTGGGTCTTCTGGGGGAGGACTGTTTTTGGCCTCATGGAGTTGGTAAAAAAGACCACTCATCTTAACGTTCAATTTGTACTGGATGTTTTTTGTTGTGACAATCGGGTTGTTTATTGTTTCCGCCTGGTCTGAATGGTCCAGATCTCGAGCATCAAAAGGGGAGGGGGGGGGGGGGGTGTTGTCTTGCTTTCTTAAAAACATTCAAGATTATCCATGAGCACATAGACCATACCATTTTTCAGGGACCTTTCGATTTTCACTGCTTGTGCCGTCCACTTCCATTTGCATTTTGTTCTTTTTCAATGTATTTGTGTTCAACAGTTTTGTTCTATCTAGTGCAAATGTCGCTTATTGCATTTGGCAAGATAGCGTTGTGGTCCGATAGCCTAAGTACAGCCATGACTGTACTGTGTATAATGAATGTGGCGTATTTATTGTCTGTAGGCTCCTTCAGGAAGTTACTGACACATTGGCAATCAAAGGTCCTTCTCTTTCGAGCCAAACGGGACATTTGGCATCTTTGGTTACCAAATCTTAAAAAATGAAGACAGCTAATTTGGCCCTGTTATTATATAGTGTAGCAGATGCATTCAACACCGTACTAACAAATCCACTTCCAAGTCTTTGCGGGCTAGACATAATCTGGTCCCCTTCACTGGGTTTTACAAGCTTCTTGTTAGATTCTTTCTCCTACCCTGCATACATCACATTGATCCTTCCGACATACATACAACAACAGGTTGTTCTTTTGTAATATCTCTCTAACATCATCTGGGACAATGTGTGACTCTTATCGTTTTCTTTGGTACTCTCTATAAAGGCCTCTGAGGCTTTTAAAGTGTTAAACAATTTCGTCAAGTTTGTTAAAGAATTACTTATCGCAAAATTGCTTGTCCTCTTCTGCTTCTTTTTAATTTGATAATTGTGGAGCTCCCGTCTCCAAGTCATGTAAACTGTCTTTGCAAAAGTCATGAATGACCACTGTGTAAGGGCAGTTGTATAAAAAAACGCATTGTTTTGGCATGGAGGTAGAAGGTATGAGATTTGTTTCAAATTGAAGTGTGGAGCTGGAGAGTTGAGTTGAAGGTTTGTTGAAGAGAGAATTTGCAGGGCGAATTTGTTTATGAGCAGCTTTTTTTTTAAAGTGACAAATTAAGTATGATCAACCCACCCTGATTAACTAATCAATGATTCAAGAATGGTACATGACAGATACAACAAGGGGCGCATACTTAAAGTAAATTAAGAAACGTGAAAAGTCGTGATAAAAATATGTTCCAACAGTTGTGCCGAATGTGAAATAAGGGCCCCTTAGCTGTCAAAATTCGACTTTTTACAAAATTCATTCGTAAGTAGCTTTTGCTACAATTTACCGACTTGGTCGAGTCAATATAAACGTATTTTTTTATGCCATCTTGCCCATTCTCAACTACACTACCAATCCTAGTGATAGATTACGCAAACTACCTTGACAAAATCTTCTGGCTATCGATAGATTTCGAACGGAGTCGAAGTTAGCAAAGGCAGCACTTTGTTTTGATGTTACCCTCCAGTCTGTTTTGACAACGGCCACAGTCGTACGTGAGTCACGCCGTCTAAACGACCGGTGAACACCTCAACAAGCCACTCAATCTGTGTGATTCAACCGCCCATTTGCCACCATGCTGCAAAAGTGGCACTTGAGCAGTTGAATCACATGGAAATTGGGGACTGGTGTGATATAGGGGATTGATTTATTTAAGGATTGAAAAACTTTGCAGTAATCTTTCAAGCTCAGGATTTTAACATAAGGTGTCTCAAAGGTTGTACTACGTAAAGGGATCAAAAAGTGATTTTCGAAAATGTTGTCATTTAGGGGGTTGAATCACGCGGCTAGCGATATGCCCTTCTTTGTTTGTGTACATGGTGGTAGGGTTGATAGGATGTATGTGTGTGTGTTGCTGTGTTATGTCATTCTCTGTGTCTGCATTTTTTAAATTGTGGGTTTGTGTGTGTGGCTATGTTTATGGGTTGGAGGGGGAAAAATATGTTTAGGAACTCGGTATGTGTTTTTATGCTTTTAGAGAAAAGAGTATCAGCTAACCTGCTGATGCTCAAACATATGAATACAATCTTAATGGCTCTGTCAAGCCTTTGCGCTGTTTCCTTGTCCAGATTGTTGCTGTTGAAACCAAGACAAATGAGAAGCAAAACAGTACTACTTCTGTGACTGTGAAAATTATCAATGAAAATGACAACATGCCCAAGTTCAGTGATGGACCGTTTGACGCACACATTCAAGAGCCTGGACTGACAGCACATTGCTATATCACTCTAAATGTAAGTAATTCTCATTTATCATCACATATATGTTTTTTTTAATAGTTAGGAGCGCCATAAAACATTTATCAAACTAGTTTCTCAGAAAATATGATCTGTTTGAGCTCTTGCCTAACGTATACTTATAGCTATATTAACGCAATCTTTGTATTCTTTATTAAACTTGTTGGACTCCACAGTAGTCAAAAGTTAACTGTGGACTTTACAGCAAGAGTGAGAAGTGTTATGTTGGCCATAGACCTCACAGCTACATGGCAGATGTCCACTGGGGTAAACATGTAGGCTTTCTGGCATGTCCATAGAAAAAGTACTTAATTTATGGGTGTTGTGTCAGGTTGCCAAGCTGTCATATATATCGACTAAACAAGTTGGAGGTATGCATGTGTTAACATGTAAACATCTTCTGTAAGAAATGTTTAGAATAAACATTTGAAGTGGCTATCAAAGTTATAGACTTTACCTTGATGATTTCAATGTGTGGGAAGCATTATATTGGACACAGGTTTCTGCATTGTTTTTTTTTGTTTGTGTCTTTTGTTACAGTAGTATGTCTCAGTCCTGCCCTTTTTTAGAAAAGTACACCTTTCAACTAACTGGTTTAGCTGAGGTGTGACTTGTTGAAGTTATTTTTATCTTTTAGATGACTGTCTATTTGAATAAAACACCAGGTTGAATGCCTATGTCCCAAATCAACTGTAGATTTGACAGTATCAATACCATTGTGTTTGTCTGCATTTAACTAGAATCCAGCAGTGAGTGATGCTGCTTTTTTTACTTTCTCCTCAGGCCACAGATAAAGATCTTGGTGACAACATCACATTCTCCTTGAAAGATGACTCAAACAAGTGAGAAAAAACATTCAAATCCCATGTTTTTGAGAAGAGTGAAACAGTATTCCAGTGTTTAAAATATTCACACTCTTTAGATACCCAATGTCAGATTAGCATGTTGATCATAAATTTTTAAAAGTTGGCTGGTGGACATTGTGGCTCAGAAATTTGGACAGTCTGAAGCATCTTTTGTGAGTGCAGTGTTCATAGCATAAAGTAGAACTGGGATGTTTTCTATTTGTTTCAAGCACTGGTGAATTCTTTTATATGCTTGAGTCTCCTAAAAGTTCTGAGCTTTGGACAATACAATGGTCTTTACATGATGAAAAGAACTGCAGTGGGATTTTGTTTACGTCTCTTTCTTGACTAGTTTAATCGTTTTTAAAGAGTATGCTGAGAAGTAACAAGTTCCTTAATTTTCAAACATGTTTAAAAAATGTGGACAGAACTTCAAGTCTTGGTCAGTTCTCTTCTTGCTCATTACATTCATGTCTGTTGTTTTTGTTGTTGTTATGGATCAAACAACAGCTGTACTTTCGTTCTTCTGTCCAATGCCAGTGGTAAGTGCAGCTTTGTGTCAGTCGTTGTAATGTTCCATAGAGTGTGTTGTCAATGTTAGGTCATAGATTCAGAAGTGTAAATCTGATGTCATTCAAGGCTGTGCTGTGGAACACATTCATGTCTGAGGCACAAAGTACACAGCAACACTATTTCTGCAGGTTGTATGTTGTAATGCTTTCAGTCTGGTAAAATACATCACTGAAGGCTACATTTTCTTTCCTTTTGTGTGTTTTTTAAGATTACATCTGGCTTAGAGGAGTCTGAGCACATGACAGTTTTGGTTGTGGTTTGAAAGGGCGTGTTCACCTGCAACAGGACTAACTAAAATGCCAATGTTCAAACGCGTTTCTGTCAGATTACGGTAAAGAATGAGCTGATCAAGATTGTGAGGGCTGATGGATAGTTCTTTTTCTTTCTTATTCACAGGTTCCAGATTGACCCAGTGTCAGGCTGTGTTTCTCTGAAAAGCTCGGACCTAGATCGTGAGACCACCAGCACTTACTCAATAACCGTCATGGCAGAAGACGATGGTGGCTTCAAGGATACAAGTCAACTCACAGTTCATGTGCTTGATGCGAATGATGAGCCTCCTGTCTTTACCTCCTCCCTTTACAATGCCAGCATTGATGAAGGAAGTACAACTTTCATTCCGGCTTTGAAAGTACAAGTGAGTTCTCTACATTCGCACGTGACGATGGAGGGAATCAGTGGGTGGTTGGCGGGTGCTCTGGTGTGGTTTGCTGCTTCTTCTTTCCTATCAGACATCTATCATCCTTATCTCCCCTTCTCCTTTTTTATGTTTGTTACTCTCTTGTAACACCTCTAATCTTCTGGTGCGTGGGTGGTTGGCGGGTGCTTTGGTGTGGTTTGCTCCTTCTTTCCTCTTAAACATCTATCGTCCTTATCTCTACTCCTTTTTTACGTTTGTTGTTACTCTCTCGTAACACCTCTAATCTTCGGCACTTATATGACCTTATTGTGTTGTAAGTGCCGTAAAACTCTTTACTAAACTAAAAAACTAATCTTCTGGTGCTCATATGACCTTATGCAGTTGCGAGTGCCGTAAAACTTCTACTAAAAACTAAGGAGGGAATCAATAATTACCTTTGTTCTGAAGAGTCCTGTAATGTGTATTTTGATAGGCATGCTTTTTAAGAATGAACAGTGCTTCCTATCTTACATATTTTTATGTACATACTTTCTGACAGTTCTGTACTTGCTCCACCATCATTATCAACTCCATTGTTCCCCCTCCCCCCCCCCCCTCCTCCAGGGCAGTGCTACTGACTGAAGTGTCTTTAAGCAATTCCCAAAGGGGGGGGGGGGATATTAACATGTTCAAATGCAGAGTAGAATTGTAAATGGGCTGATTTATCGATGTCATGCTCATACTCTGCTGAAACAACATAAGGGGAACTGCTGCTTTTTCTTTACTCATCCTTACTATCTTCATTTTTTCCTCTACTTTTTTGTATGTGTGTCACTCTCTTGTGAACTGCTGTTTCCGGGGTGCCTTGATAGTAGAAGCAGACTTTGTGCTATTGAGGCAAGAGAGGTGAGCAGAGTAAGCCTGTTTGGACTCTGTTGACATCCACATCTTATCACTCATATGACCTTATACAGTTGCGAGCGTGTAAAACCTTACTAAAACTTACTAAAACTATCAACTCCTTCTGTAAAAGAGTGCGATAGCTTAGGGTTACCGAAATTGCGTAGCAAAGGATCCGTACTCACTTTCAAATTGTCTTGTATAAGTTCTGTGTATTTACAGTCATTCTCTTGGCAATAAGTTAATGTGATAAAAACCTGCCAGATTTTGCTTTTCCTGCTATTCGTCATTATCACGCTATGCATTCATTGCAGGGTGGTCGGCAATAAATTTCTACCTGCAGATTGGTCAACATCTGGCTAGCCACTATAACAATCTTTTAGTTTCAATTTCCTCCTTTCTTTCATTCACTCTCTCTATCTTCGGATTGTTGCTGCGGCTGGAAAATCTGTGTGTTGATCAAGTAAATTGACTTGTGATTTTAGAGAAAAAAAATCAGTATCAGAGGGGAACTTTTTGCAATGTATTTGTCTAGATCTAGAGATGGCTAAAACAGCACCTGGACATGGATGGCTGGTGGCTCTATGAATAAATCATTGATGGTCATCTAGAGAAAGTTTATCAGTGGGATGGTTCTACGAGAGTGTGATAAGAGCGTGTTGAAATTTATGATAAAACTACTCAAATCAAGAATAATGTGAAGTGCTGTTCTGAGGTTGTGACATTCGACATTCCAACGTGAATATAGAGGAAAATTAAGGTATACACTGGGTAAAGGATAACTGTATTATCAATAAGGTACATGTCTGTTCACTATTCCCAGGTTTGCCTTCTGTCAGTGGTGCGATGACGAATTAATTGAATTATAGGAGCAATGGCAGGGGAACCTGCTTTGTTTTTAAACATTGCCAGTAAAGGAAAGATATGTAGGTGAAGAAATCTAACCGATACAGAATCGTGGTGAAAAAATAGGTCGAAATACAGTACCTGGACCCTGCTGGCCACCAGACCCTCTACAGAATTTTCCTTACTTTTCACCTTCTGTTGGAAGCACATAATAAAATATTTTCAACCTTCATGAGTCTGTGGTTTTTTCCTGATACGGAAATACCTGGTTAATGACAATGCCATTGGAGATGTGCTTTGAACTTGCAGTTACCCCCCGGGGCAGTGCCACTGACTGTAGCGTCTTTAGGCCATTCCTAAATGGGGGACATTTCTCGTTCAAGCATAGTAGAATTGTAAATGGGCTGACTCATATCACGCTCATAACTGTGCCTGATTTACAACAGGGAACTGCTGCTTTTTTTTTCCTGATCCTTACTATTGTCATTTTCTTCTACTTCTTTTGTATGTTTGTCACTCTCTTGTGACCTGCTATTTCCGGGGTGCCTTGATAGTCAAAGCAGACCTTGTGCTGTTGAAGCTAGAGAGGTGAGCAGTCTAAGTCTGATTCCCTGTAAAGACTTCTCTGTTGACACTCACCCCTTGGCGCTCATATGGCCTTATGCAGTTGCGAGCGCCGTAAAACCCTCTACTTAAAAAAAAAAAAAAAAAAAGAACTTGCAGTGGGTATATTGATCAATGAATCCCTCTGAATTTTCACTGAAACTGTAGTTTAGATGTGTAATAAGGTAAGTATGCATTGCTCAAACCCAGGGCACCACACATGTTTGTGCTGAGGAATAAATAGGTCTTTTGAAATCCATGGCACCTTCATGTTTCAATGAAATGTTCTAAATGCCTGTTTCTTTAAAACAGTTATTTTTTTACTTTCTTTATTTTACCAAAGTATACCAGAAGTTGAGGATGTTATAAGATGGTAGTTTGACCTTCAACTTGTGATAATACAAGTATCTGAACTAATGTGCTGTTTATTTGTATGTTTTATTCAATACAGGCTACAGATGATGATGAGCCTGGCAGCCCCAACAGTGAGGTGACCTATGAGTTGCTAAATGCTAGACCAAGCCAGTTGTTTAGAAACTTCTCGATAGGTGGCAGAGATGGTGAAATTTGTTTACTGGCTCCACTGGATTTTGAAGAATTTGACTCTGTCACTTTAGTCATCAGAGCTTCTGACAATGGCACCCACAAACTGGAAACAAACGCAAGCGTCATTATTACTGTGAAAGATATAAATGACGAAGTTCCCAAATTTCTGCAAAGTGTGTATGTTTCCAGTGTTGCTGAAAACAGTACGAAAGGTTAGCTTTGCTTTTTCATTGTCTTTTTTACTGTCTTACTTAGAAATTCCTTATCATGATTGAGATGTATTGAACTGTTTAGAGTATTTTTTTTTTTAATCTCCAGTTTGACTAGAAGTGAATTTTAAGAGGGGGTGGGGTCAGCTGAGGGCTATCTGGCTGTGGACCAAATTTCACATTTCACCCATATAACAAGCATAGTGTGGATTCTTCAAATACACAGTAAAATTTTCGGAAAAACTTTCTTTGCCATGGGGATGGCAGCCATATTGGATTTTGTTGGTGTGTCTTACAAAGGTAATATATCTCACTTATATTCAATGGAAATAGGTTCTTATTTTGCATACCTGTTAAGAAGCAATAGCTTTACAAAATTTGTAGTTGAATTTTCCTAAACAAATTAAAAACTTTTAAATGAATTTTTTTCTTGATGTAGTATTCAAGGCAGCAAAAAGTCAGTTATGAGTTTACAATCCAGGGACCACCAATAAAAATCTATTCCATATACTATAAATTCAACAGAAAATTTGAGGTATTGAAAAAAGTATTTAGAAAAACAGACAATAAAATAAAATAAAAAGGGACTTCCGGTGGATATGGTAGAGACTAAAATACTCCTTCACAATGAAATAGTTGTCAATGGGCTGAGGAAGCCAAAAATGCCCATATCTCAAAATTGGTAATTTTATCCCAAATCAGAACTTTCAGCTGCTGTCCTCCCCCTTCACTGTTGAGGTGTTTGACCAATGATGAAATATTATATGAAGCAGGGGTCTCACTCTACCCATGAATTCCTGGATTCAATCAACCTCTTTGATCTGAGCATTTTTTATTTATTTCTCCCTGTTTCGTTTTTATATTCGATTTTATGCTAGAGTGTAATACGGCATCATTAAGTCTTTATCTCTAATTGGGGTAAACCTACTACGTCGGGGCCCTTTTTTGGTACAAACTCTAAAAATGGCAAAAACATCACCAAATGGATCATTAAATCAAAACAAGTGAACCTATTTTGATAGTTCTTCATCTAATGAAGGAGCTCCTGGTAAAAGAGACTGTTTTCGGGATTTTGCTGAAAAGTAATTTGATGTCCAAGTTGTCGTAAAGTAATGTGCCTGAGCCACTGCCAGCGGCTCACGGGCTCAGCAGGAGCTGGGAGCAGCTTGCCAGCGATGAAGAGTTAATGACGTATACTGAGTTGGTGAGGCATGAAACATTTTCAGTCAGAATCTGAAGACTTGTTGCTTGTAATAGCACATGGCTTAAAGAAACCAGAAAAGTTAATGTTACCACTTTATGTTATACAGTGGTGTCCAAAAGAAACTTGAAAATGTATTAACCAAATCATCATGCTAAGGCCTTGCACTACCCTCTCATCATCATCATCATCATTGCCTTTCTCACCCAGCGCCAGGGTATAGGCCACGAACAAACACTTTCCACCATTCTCTGTCCTGGGCTAGCCTCTTGATGTTATTCCATGTCTTCCCACTTTTCTGTACATCAATTTCTGTGATTCTTCTCCAGGTTCCACACGGTCTTCCCCTTGATCTATTACCCTGTGGATTCCAATCCTACACTTTCTTACTACCCACTCATGCAACATATCAGTTTAATGCTAGATGAATTCTGTACCCTCTGACTCATTAATTTTTCATCTACCATAATAGTCGACAATAGGTATGGTCCCTCAAAATTAACCGTATAAAATTATGCTTGTCAGAATTGTGTGGAATAAAAAAAACCCGTAAAAGTTTGTTGGTGTTTGTATTGGAGTATTTAATTGGTTGAATGCACATGTATTGCATGTCAAATGAATGCTGCAATGAACAAGGTTTTATTACAAAATTTTCCTACAAATTGGAAAACAAAGCAGTCACAAATGCTACGCAAAACATCGACTTAACATTACATGTGCTCATTTGTATTTTGTTGAGGAGAAATTGGTTTTGTGCAGAGTATTAACACTTTGGGCATGGTTTATGTTAGAGTTTTAACAACTTGCAAACTTGGTAGTAGAGACAACTTCTGTAATGGTCAGTGTAGAGTTCACAGTTCGATATGATCCCGCCTGGAGCAAAACTTGTAGGCCCTACACACCCAACATGTGATGTATATTTAGATGGGGAGATCAGATGCGAGTGAGATGTTGGGGAAAACAGACGCATTGGTGAGTTCAGATGGACTTAACGTAATATGTGTTCTATAGTATTTCATTTACTATTCATTGGTTTTGTATAGAGCACCAACTCTTTTTGAGCATGGACAGTCTTAATTAGATTTGGGACATAATTGGTCACTGAGGAACATAGACCACAAAACTGCCATGGTTTAGGGTGATCTGGCTAGAATGAACAGAACTCCACTTGTGAGAATCAACGAATTGCTTAGTTTAGATGACTACATCGCACAAGTGATGGAACTCGCATCATGTCCTTATTTTTGTCATGGTGTCGTTCTAGTATGCAGGACAAAGCACCTTCTCACAGGGCCAACGCCTTTAAACAATTTTTGGAAAAGCAATTCATACTAACGATGGAGTGGTCATCTATAAATAGCCCTGACATGAGCCCCACAAATATGTGTAGCCCCATGGAACAGCAGCTGAAGAAACAAGACTCTGTTCCCAGTTCAGACATTTTGTTTGTAACTGTCTGTGACATTTGGAATGACATAATGGATACTTGTGTTCAAACTTTAACACAACCCATGCCCAAAGGGTTCATGCTCTACACAAAACCAATTTCTCCTAAACAAAATACAAATGTGCACAGGTAATGTTAAGCCCATTTTTTGTGTGGTATTTGTGACTGCTCTCTTTTCCAATCTGTTGAAAACTAACGTAAAAAGTATTGTTTATTGCAGACAAAAAAAAGTTCTCCATTAATTTGAAATGCAGTTCATGTCCATTCTATCAATGTTAATGGACCTCAGTAAATGCACAAACACGCTTTTAAGTTTCTTTGAATTCTCAGAATTTTGCTAAGTCTGATTTTTTATGGTTAGTTTTGAGTGACCATATCTCGGGTGTCTCTCATAGTGGATGAACTATTAATGTTCCAGATGATGAAAAATTTATTTAGCTTTAAATTGGTATGTTGCATTAGTGGGTAGCGCAAGGTTCCAACACAATGATTGGGTGAATACATTATCAGGGTTCTTTTGAACACTGCAGTATAATATAAAGTGACAAACATGACATAGGCCTAATTGTCACGACATGGTGGAATCGGATGCTTGTAAATTTTTTGGCATATTGAGTCATTGGTTTATTAAAATTTGTCTTACTTTCAATTAAAAAATAACCCATCTATCTTGAATAGAAATCAAAATATTTGCAATTGATGGAGGTAGGGATTGCCTGGTTTCAGATGTAAAGTTTATAAGAAAATAGCCGCCAAAGTTTGGTGACTTCCAATGCTTTGGAGTCTGTGGAAACTACAAATTAAAATTGTTTTGTGCCTTTAGTTAATGTTTTTCATTAAAATCCACACAAAACTATGTTTTTAAATGGACGTAAAGGGTGTTAAACCAAAAACCCAAAATTCGATAAGAATTGCCTATGTGCATAGCAGGAAAAATGACGGTTTCTTTGATTTCATTATTCTGACGAGTGCCTGATTTCACATCATTACCTCACATATATTCAGAGCCATTTGTAGTGCTGACATTTACTTTCACAGTATTATATTGTTTAAATCATCCTAACAGAGTAATACAAATGTCTCTTTTTGCAGTGAATGCAATATTTTCTGTATTATGTCTGATTTGCTGGAAGAAGCCTTTAGCTTAGATTTCTTGTTACAGGTGTTTGGAAGAGTTTACTGCAATGTGAGAACAATTATAAACTATATGAATACATTATACTGTAAGGTAGATGAGACATTCCTCAATGACATAACGAGCAAGTATATAATATACAGAAATGACTAAACTCCTTTTTCTGTGCACTCGACAACAGGAACTTTTGTGGCCAATGTCACAGCAACAGATGCTGACGCTAGTGAGCCAAACAATGTGATCAGCTACACCATTGACACACTCAGCAAAACAAAGTTTAGCATCAATGAATCCACTGGAGAGATTTCCATCAAAGCAGCTCTGGATCGTGAACAGAAAGACTCTTATACAATCACTGTGACAGCCAGAGACTATGGACAGCCCATGCAGACCTCAACAGCATCAGTCAATGTCAGTGTCACAGATGTGAATGATTCTCCTCCAAGGTTTAAAAATGTAAGTAGCCTCCTCAGCTGTTGCCATGAACTTTTTCGACTGCCTGTTCACATTTGGCACGGCTGTTAGGAAGCAGTACTTTAGTTTGCAGGCAACCAGAACGCTGCACCTTGTAATCTGACCCTGGTCGCGAGGTCATGAACTTTTGGCCAGGGGAATTCCCCGTGTCCCGCTGACAGCATGGTTCAGTTCAGTTTTAGGACAATTAAACTTGCAAAATACTCCAATCGATGACTTTGTCGTCATTTCATTTTGCCCGTTTGGAACGAGAGAGAACGTTTGCACTCTCTGAGAAAGATGCAAAATTGTATAAAATAACGATAAATATATATAGCGTTCCAAAAATGGCTCATATTTTACCATTGCCCTTGGGGGGTGTAGATTTTTTAATTAAAATTCCAGTCAAACAAAACTTAAACTGTTCTTCAAATTCACATAAAATACACCAGAAATGGTCAAATATCAAAACTCACTGTGTAGTCTTTGTGGGAAGTCCACGTTTTTGGAGTAGTGAAGAGTTGATTGCAGTGTCACCTCTTTTTCTTTTTCGGAGGCACGTTGGATAATAGGTCTGGATTTGACATGAAGGTGCTGAGATTGCATGACAACTTTCAACTGCTGTTCAATATTGTGTATCCCAGCTCCTCTTCTCTCTAGCTTTGCCACAGAAGCATGGATACGTTCACCACCCTGTTCCCCATGTAAAGCCAAACCAAACTCATATGTTTGTATCCACGGGATGCTGTGGTTTTCTAGAATGTGGTGTTTGGGAAGTACCTTTTCACTAAAGCATCTCCTGTATAATGAAATGTAAGTTTTGATGTATATGTCAATGTTGTATGGTAGTCTGTCTTTTGACACTGGTTGGCCGTGTGAGATGTGGATGTGAACGTCCCTAAATGCGTTGTTTAATTGATTGAATTTGTCTTTTTTTTTTTTCGTAAGTGTTTTACGGCGTTTGCTACTGCATAAGGTCATATGAGCGCGGGGGACACATCAAACTATTTTAATTGGTAGGAAATTTTGAATTTTGCCTGGGTGGCGGCCGAGGCCTACTCTTATCGATTTTAGACCACCAAGGGATCTTTAACGTGCGCAACTTGCACACGGGCCTTTCAAGATTTTTCGCCCTTGTCCGAGAAGGCTAGGTGTAGATCTTTCCTACCAGAAGATCAGGGGTGTGGCTGAAAGCCAGCAGTAAGAAGGTGCCAAGGAGTAGCAGTAGAAAGGCTGCAGAAAGAGTCAGGAGCCCAGAAGAGGGGCAAAGGAGATGAGGGGGTGAATTTTTCTCTGAGAGTGTAAATGGTGTCAATTATGTTTTGGTTGTGGGTGTTTTCTACTGTTTCTTTTACAATAAATGCAGTGAGGTCTTTATAAACGTGACTCATGATGTATTTGTGGCAGTGATTGCCAATGAAAGAGCGGCTGTGATATGCCTGCGGTGTGATGTTGTGTGAGTCTCGTATAGTGTCTAAATGAGAACAGATAGGGCCAGTCCTAGGTCTAAGGGGTTCATGCTCTAACTCAGACAACTTGTATTCTTTCTCTGTTGGTTAAATGTCTAATCCTTCCCACATTCCATTTGTCTTATTTTGTCCGCGCAAGCTTTGCAGATGGTTTTTTAATATACTGTTTGGGAGTCCATAGTAATGCTAACACCAAAGGCAAAGAGAATGTCCGATGCAAGTTTAGAACACTGCAGGGGTCACTTTTTCTGTGCCTTCTGCTTGACTGACAGTGTTTTCCACCACAAGTTCTGCAAAGTTCGAGCAGCTTTTGAAAATGCGAATCCTCTGTATGGTTCTCCATTTCTTATATGGGCTAAAATATTCCAAAAAATCGATAAGAGAAATGTTGGAAAACATATCGTGCGTGATATTTAAGAAGACAAATGAAAGATCACGTCCGAGTGAGTCCGAGGGAGGGGGTACCGTTTTTTTTTTAAAAAATCATTAAAAGTCATACATTCACTCCCACAAATAACACTTGCTCACACAGTTCAAGTATTGCTGCTTCAAGTGAAGCACAGAAATCTGAGTGCAAATCTGAGTTTGGGTTTTGAGATAATAAACTCCAAAATGGAATATCATTTAAAATGCAACATTAGATTAAGAAAACACTTGTACGGCAAAATGCGTAAATGCTATAACAGCAGTGATATTTCCGGAGCGAAAGTAGGATGGTCTTGTTAGTCTTAAGATGATCTTTAAAATAAGATGTTAAACAGGCTTCTAGGTTTATCAGATTGGGAGAAATAACAAGGGAAAGGGATGCAAAAATTACCAGAACCGAGTTACGCAGGCACAGCGGCTGGCATCGCTATCGTCACGGTTGTTAAACGCGGGAGTGGCCGACTGACACCGATTTATTACCTTCACGCGGGAGGTCAGACCGGGGCTTGGTCACCGACTAAAGTACACGGTTAATGAGCCCTGAAGCGACTGTGTCGGTTTGGAAGTTCGCATTTTTGCCTATTTTTAAAACGATATAACTTGTTCCCCATCCCACACAGCAAACCATTACGCGGATGTACTAAAAGCTCAATGTCTTGAGATTTATTCTGCGTTAGAATGGTTAATTTCTGTGCATTAGTTTTTGTTCTAGACAAGTGTTTGTAGAGTACCCAATTTTAGTTACAAACTTATGAATAAATGATTGTTAATTTAAAAAAGGGACAACAGATCTCTCCAAAATCTGTTTTAAACTGACTACGAATATCATGTCTTTTACCTTGAGAAATCTTAAATCTTCGCGAGCAGTAATAGTCAAGTTATAAGAGAAGAAAGATGCACATATGTATTTTTTAACTAAAGACGATCAGCGTTAGCTCTTATTTTACTATTAAACAAGAGAAAGTTACTCTGCTTTTGTTCATGAATCATGTTGTGTCTGTGGCAATCTGCATACACCTAAAAAGATATAATATAAGTGATTAAAAAAACCCACAAAACCGTGTAAATACATCGGTAGAGATAAACTTCTTGTATGGAATAAAAATAATGACAGCTAACACATTCATTCTTAGTTTTTGTGTCGGAAATATGTGCGGACACAATTATGAATGTAAAGAAATCGGTCACATTGTCAGTTATTGCAAATGGTCATAGAAACGAAAAATAAAGCTGGAAAGTATGGTGCTGATTCAGTGTCCCTGGAAAGCTAGAAATTATTCTTATAACCCAATTACAAGAAGTCATCCCTATTATTCAGTCAACTTACAAAACCTAGACTTAGCGTTTTAAGAAAAGTAAGGAATTTCTAGAGTGTAACACTAGATACTGTTCGTGTATTGCATTGAAGATGTAATCTGGCACTAAAATCGATTTGTACTTTTCATAGAGAAACTTCATGGTAACTTTTATAAACTTTCGTGAAAATATGCGAATATTCACGCTTATATTAGACACAATAAGTTGTATTTGGAGGAATTACTTCATAGCGAATTGTGTGCCAGATGGATAAAGTTTCAGAATTACAGCTTTCTATTACATGCGCAGATACCATCTTTTCTGAGTATCTGCACCAATGCTATGTCGTTCATGTTCCAAAAGTTCAACAGATTTTGTCGAGGCCTTTTTTTTATATTGATTTTTATTCATTCAGGCTAGTCCATAAAAATTTACAATTTAGCATTGCCGACTCCAGCGCGTCTAACGAAATAACCAGACAAGTTACAACGTCTGTTCTTTTTTGAGTCTCAAGAGCAGAAATGCATGCTTTCGGTGCACTAAATGAGAATTGCCATAAATACAAGGATACACCTAAAATTGTAAGTTGAAAAGTACCAAAAATTAAGTCGGCCCAGACAGAGCGGCGACAGGGAGCTGACCCTCGTGACCCCGACGTGATAAGGCGGCCGGCGGGGAACCCCCCGCTGCAACTAAAATTCCACTGCCGGTTCGCCGTGTTGCAGAGATAATATATCTTGTGCACTGCTCTCTGATATATATATACAACGGGTAATTAATGTCTACTAATTTTGTCATCAGATTGTGATGCAAAACCTACACCATATGCTCTATTCACACTTTTCTGATATGTATCCCCTTATACTAAATTGTTATCTAACATGATGTAATCACACCCAGCTCTTTTTTTAATATGTGTCTCGAATGAAAGGGATGGGGGAAAAGGAGAAAGTCTCAAGGGTGGGTAGGAGCAGTAAGATATGACAAGCTGAAACATGGTCTGGGTGATCTGTCTGGTTTCATGATGAGCCAAAAACATGACCAGTAATTAGCTGAGAAACATGCCTGTGGCCATGGTAGTTTGAAGGTGCTTTGGGAATAAAGCACACGGTGATCGTTTCATGCAGAGGCTATGTCTAAGGGAGCAGCTGGGGTTTATTAGTTGATCAGTATATTTCAAACTCACGTGAAAATTATTACCAGTAACATACCCATGCTTGTACTATTTCTCTTCTGCAGGATAAGAGAAAGATCTCGATTCCAGAAAATACTGCCAATCTCACCATACAACAGTTCACAGTTTCAGACCCGGACAAGGACCACCAGTTACAATGTAACATTGCTTGGGAAGAAAGTTCTTATGTTGACGGAATGGGACAATTTTTTCAAGGACAAAACTTTAGTGTAAGCCATGATCTTAGTCTTAGTGTTCACTGTACACCCCCCCCCCTCCTTTTTTTTCGGATCCTGGAGGTTTCTTTGGGATTGAACAAATATACCCACTGGTCTCTGACTCTGTAATGGTTGAAGAAACAGGTCACATTATATTCTCAGATTTCTTAGCTGGCTTTGACTCTGCCTTCTTTCCTCCCTTTTCTTGTTTTTCTGGACTGCTAATGCAAACAGTAGATGAGGGATTCTGTAGTATAATGATCTGTTAGTGTTTAGCAGGGCTTTAAACCCATGTTTTTACGAAAAACTCTTTAAAATGTCTAATATACCTGCTTAAATTTTTGTGTGTGAAATATATGTCTTTTTGCCGATACTCAAACACATTGGTCATGTAAAAGGAGATGATTGTTTAATGCAACTAAATATTGTTACCTTTCTTTGTTATTTGTTAGCACAAAAAAGTCTGCTTTTCTACTTTTTTTTCAGCATAGCATAGCTTCTGTCTTAATCTGTTTTCAAGCAATGAAACAACGTTCACGTAGGTCTTTCTCTCTCCTCAAGTTTCTGTCTCTCATGAAACTGCAAACAGGTAACTCTCTCATGTTTCTTTCTCCCTTTTTTCTTCTTTAGTTTTGGTTGCAAATGTGAACTGATTGTCAGACATATCGTCGGTCGCCTGATGAAATCGTGAATTCCACACGAAGCAAATTTTACAGGAGAGGGAAAAAACTGATTTTCTCTGTCATTTGGGGTTCAAGACATAAACTAAATGGATAAATCTAGTCCAGTACCTTTAAGAAATGATACTAAAGTACAGTTTTTACTGTTGATGGTCATTTTTTCAAAAAAAATTTGGATTAACGGTTTTCATTTTCGAATCTCGCCTGATGCGGGCATTCCACACCTGTGTGGAATTCATGATTTCATCAGTAGGCTTTATGAAAAGCCGTGTTGTATTCACGGCTACTAAGCAGTGTGTTTTCTCTTGTTAGAAGCCCTGGTACATTTAAAATACATGAAAACATGCAATACTGTTATTTTTAAAAATATTTTTAAAGCCCAATTTAAAAACAGAGTATAAAATTAAAGTTTATGGTATGAAATTTATAAAATCATACTACTTTATTCGCTCTGTTTCTCTTTCTTTCTTTCTTTCTTTCTTTCTTTCTCTAAATTAATGTGTGTGTGTGTGTGTGTGTGTGTGTGTGTGTGTGTGTGTGTGTATGACTTTTTTCCGTGGGGTGTTTAGGATGGGGGTGGAAGGGGTTGGGAATTTGATTTGCATCAACCTTCTATACCCCGTGAATGACATCTCTCACTATCTTCCTCTTTTTGTCTATCAAATCCTGAAATTTATTCTATGAGATTTTTAAAGGAGATTGATAAAGTGGTGGGGAACTGTTTGTTAATTTTTTCTTGTTTCTGGACTTTAGAAGACCCTCCCACTCATTGTCAGTTTGTAAATAATTTCTCCTTATGTATATATATCAGAGGCTCCATAATGCTTTAACAGTTGTTTTTTTAACCCGGTTTTACCGTAATCTGTGGACTGCGATTTTGGCAAAATCATGACAAAAATGTGATCCACAAATGTCGCACTGTAGGGTCTTGCCTCAATATAATTATTATTGCAGTTCTGAAAATGGCAACATATTCTAGTGGGCTGTATGTATGTGTGTGTTTTATTTTAAGCCGCCGCTCAATGACGCTGCGTGTACCACCGACTTCCTTATGAGTGTGGCTTCTGATAAGATTTTGGGTTCAATTTTGGTGTTTGCCTAAGTGGAAAAAGCTCTCATGGCATTAGAAAGAGCTTAAATTATGTGCTGATACACACACCTACTCACCTGTGACTGTAAATATTATTATAATCTTCCATGCATGTGTGCACGTTGAAAGAAAGTCCATCAAACAATGCGTGGATTCATTCGCAGTCAAACCACCTTTGCCTTGTGTCACAAGTGACAGATGGCATCATGCGAGGTCACATTGAAGATTTTTTGTTGTTCTTGCTTAACTCTTTATCTGCTTGGAGTTGCATGTTGTCCTAACCTTTTGTTGTAGTGCCGGTAATCAGAGTTTCATGCGGAGTTGTAACCAAAAATTGTAGAGCATATACTGTTCAGATAAATGGGTGCTGTTTTTTAGTTTCTTGGTCTTTTCTTATCAAATTTGCAGTGGCTATTCCAATATGGTAGAAGAATGTCATTTTATGGAATTTGTAAAATCTTAAATAGTTTTGTACTTAGCAGAGATTGAAATTGATATTTGAAATTGTTTTTTGGGTGAAGAAAAAATGATGGACGTGTTTATCATTGCGTAACATAAAAAGATATATAAATTTCCCGACAAAATGCACATTTTATAAAAGTTCATTCATTTCCGGACATTTTGGTGTATGCTAAAACTATATTTCAGCGTATTTGATCTAAATATAGCTTTTTTGTGAAACACCCTTGATCAGAATTTTATCAAGGGGAAAAACCCCAACAAAATCTGTTCAAAACCATAAGCAGACAAAGAGTTAAGAAACAACAGCTAGTGGAATTGATAGAAAATGTCAAAAGTACACCCCGGAGATTCATGCCAATGATCACAAGGTTTTCTTGGCAAAGAGTGAAGGTTTTTATCCATGTCGTACAACTTCCCCCAATGTGTCCCTTTTGTGACTATGCATATGAGACTGTGGATCATCACCTGTTCCACTGCACAGCCCTAAATGGCATCAGAGCTACCCTTCTCCCTCCGAGACCATACATTGACAACACACTCTATGGAACATTACAGCAACTGCAGCAAACCTGCACTTATCCCTACATGGCAATGGACAGAAGGGCGAGAGCCCAGCTGTTGCTTGATCAATGACAACAACAACACCCATGTCGTACCCTCTCTTTGTCCTTTTTGGCCTAGCTGATGTTGTTAGACTCAAAACTCACGTACTATTCATATCGATCTTTTTTGGCTTATATATCGACATTTTCTTTTCATCTAGCACATATTTGAGTATTCTGACAGATTGTCCCTGATCTGTGCAGGCTGTTTCGCCAAACCGATAAAGCTCCGACAGATTACAAAATCAAGGATCAAGAAAAAGTTTTCCACAGCTTTGCTGGCAATAATTGGAGGGGACCTTTGGAAACATGTCCACAGATTATGTGAACAGAAACTCTTTGGTTTGCTGGCCTCTTATGGGTTATTTGGTGATGCAGCTGGCTGGGACTCTTCTAATGCACTCTTTGCAAAGTGCTGGAGGATCCAGGTTGTCATCAACAAGTGCCCTAGAAAGTTACTCGGGATCAGATGGATAGACAGTCACCAACAAGGAAGTAATTTAAGGAGAACAATACAGAAGAAAGGAGTGGAGATGGATTGGATTAAGCATATCATCAGGAAATCAAGCAGCTCCGTAATAAAGAAAGTGTTACCTTGGAATCCACAGGTTAAAAGATCAAGGGGAAGGCCATATGGAACCTGTAGAAAAGTTGCAGAGAATTATGAAGACAAAAAATGGATAGACATTTGAAAGATATGAAGAAGCTAGCCCAGGGAGGGAACATTGGAAAGTATTTGTTCGTAGAGGGTGAGACAGGTGATGATGCAACTGGCATGGGCTCTTCTAGAGCATTTTACAATGGGTATGTTCGGTTATAGATATCAGCATACTCCTGCAAACTTTGATCTTCTGGCCATTCCTCCTCAAGTCCAAACAATGACAAAGACAGTTGTTCTGCCTTTGTCTTTCAATAGTGAGTAGTCATTTGATTTTGTTCAGCAATTATATCTGTTTCAGTTCATTACTTTGAAGTAGTCTTATCTCTTGAATTGTATTGCTTATTGCAGGCCGCTCTCTCTCGGAGGTTTAAAAAAGAAAGAACTTTTGTTCTGTTCACTGAGGTCTGGTTCTACTATTTCCATGCTGGATGTTCTGTAGCTTTCTTTGATCTTGTCCAAAGTGGTTCACGTTGCTTGGCTTCGCAAAATTCCTTTTTACGTTAGGTAATTCTGATGTCAAATCAGCGAGCCTTCAATGTCAAACAAGTTGGGGTTGTGATATAGCAAATACATTTGTACTTCTAATCTGTACTATAATAGATAGCATTTGTATAGCGCTTATCCTCGCTCAACAGCAGGCTCTATGCGCTTTACACTATATTATTACCCCAGCAGACCATAGAACACTCCGAAACATTCTCAGCTTCCGAGGAAGCATACAGTGCAAGCTGCGGATTTCACGCGCTCAAACACTATCAATCTGACAAGATCTTTCACTGTCTATAGCCGGGTACCCATTTCCACCTGGGTGAAGTGAGGAAAATTTGTGCAAAGTGCCTTTCCTAAGTACACAACGTCGGGCCTCTGACAGGATTCGAACTCCCGACCTTACGGTTGCGAGTCCGAGAGCCTAACCACTAGGCCAGCGACGCCACTATACTACGTTATCTTTTTGCAAACGAACAAGATCAAAATTGTGTAAACTACTACTAAAAGGGCACTCGCATCACACATTCAAATTTAAAAGTAATTGTGAAACAATACCAGTCCTGCATCTATGAAACAAACATTTTACTCATGTGACAGAGACTTTTCATGCAAAACGCATGCTATCGACGTCATTTAAATCATAATCTACAGCCTATGTAAACCATGAATACTGACCGACCATTGTGTTTGCCAAACGCAGTCGCCCATATTTCAATGCTCTAAAGAGGCGTTCACGGCGCCAACGGTCAGCCCCGCGAGTCATAAACTGACTGATGAGATCGTGAATTCCACACAGGTGTGGGATTCATGGTTTCATCAGGCGACTTTTGGGGCAAGGTGTTTATTCACGATTTTCTTATTACGTCAGATTACACGTTTGAGTTGAGATAATTGAACAATAGTTCTACAGGGACATGTATCTCACTTAGCACTATCATAATATGCAAAAAAACGATTTTAGAAAATTTGTGGAATTCACGGTTTTATCAAGCGACCGAGGATATGTGGTACCTGTAAATCACGTGCACAGTTTAAGTTATATGTTTGTTTTTTTCAGAATATTGTCACCATCGATAAGAACAGCTGTGAAGTTAAAGCAGTTAAGGAACTGGATAGAGAAAAGCTTCAACAGTTCACTCTCAGTGTTGTAGTCACTGACCTTAAAGGCGATCCATCTACACAACAGAATGCTACTGGTATGGCATGGTTTATTGTTTTTGGAAGAATGGCAAGTTGTTTTTTTAAGTCCTTGAGGGCTTGAATCATAATTTGCACAATTTTGAAATGTTTTAAATTCTCTATGGGAGTAGCTTTCAGCACACATTTTAATATTTTGCAACATTGTAGATGTTGGTGTTGTTACACGGAGTTCACATGAATAAAACCATGTGTTTACCAGCAGCAGTAAGCAATTTGTCGTCTTGTCAGAAATTTGCATAAGCCCTAAATTTTGCATTTTTCCCCATTTACATTTGCCTTTCCCTCTCAGATTTTTACAATTTTTGCAGATTTTAAAAATCTATTGCTTCTTGTTTCTTTCAGCTTCGTTGGAGGTCTCTGTTTTAGACAAGAATGATAACCCACCTAAATTTGAAGGTGGTGACAGATTTGTGGCACAGATTCCTGAAAATAGACCTAAGGGTACAGAGGTTGTGTTTGTCAATGGTACCCGACTGGTTGTCAAAGATATTGATGAAGTAAGTTGTTTTTTCTGTTCATTTCTACTTCTAGGGGCTTGAATTGGACAGATTAGTTTGGTATGATTTTTTTTTTAATGGCTTCGATTACCTTTAAAAGTTTTGTTTTATCGCTCGATCTTTAAAAAGCATATAATATCCAAATATGAGTGTGAAGTCAGAGTTAAGCAGGGACCACAAGAAAGAAGGGTTTTTTGGTTTTTGCTTTAATTTTATAAGTCATTGTTTCTGACACTTGACTCTTTAACCAACAGGACCCTTGCTCGTGAGCTTCACTAGTATGGAATATTCTTCCTTAATACTTCGCTACCTTAGAATTACAATGTTTTATCTGACGTTTTTGGACGTTTTGAGTTACTATATATAAGACCATGAGGTCAGAAACCAAATGTTCTTTTTACTCTATCAAAATTGTAAGATTGTTCAGAGTCATTATCAAGATGTTCAAAGAACTGCATTCGAAAAAGCTTGACATTTTGTGAAACTCAAACATGTTTACATCAATTTCTCAAAACTAGGTACTGAGCAGATAGCAATAGACCTTTGTAATTCTGAGGTAGCGACGTAGCTGTGGAGGGAATCAGTGAATCAATTGCATTTGAGGCTTGTTATTCACTTGCGCCAATGTAAATATCAAACTTCTTTCGACCACGGGCATAACTTATTACATCACTATACATCTTAGTTTATGGCTTGTCAGCTCTTTTCTTTACACCGTATCACGGTTTGTTGCATCACATATCGCTACATCACATATCGCTACATCACATATCGCTACATCACATATCGCTACATCACATCGCACTATGTCCCAATAGGTTACTTCTCTCTTTTTTATATCAAATTACCCTGCATCTATTTTAGGATACTCGAAATCTTACTACGCTACATGCCATTTTATCACTTATCTCTGTCACCTCCCTGTTACAGCATCACATCTCACTATTGCTAACCATTACATCCCATCTTATTTTTATCACACTATGTATCTTCTCTTTCGCATCAAACTTCATTGTTGTCCTTTCCATGAGACTTGCTCTTTTTTACTCCCACCATGGCAAACTCTTTGGGTTGTTGTTTTTTTACCATCAATATAAATAATGATATTTGGCATCTATATAGAGGTCAACACAGATTAAAGTATACAGGCTCCGAGCACTTTACAAAAACAAGTGGCATGTATGTTGTATTCTGACTTAAAATCTAGATGTATCTCTTCAAACTACATCTCAAGACATTACATCTCACTTTATTGTCTGACATCTCATTGCCCTTTTGCTTTTCATTATAACTATTGGGTTTGATATGTGGTTTTTTTCACAGAAAGAAAACAGCCTCTATGAGATAGTTCTGAGCAATGGTTCAGGCTTTGCGATATCCCCTAAAGAGGGTAACGGTGTTACGCCTTGTAGAATCATTGTTGAGGACCCTACCAGGCTTGACTTTGAAAAGAATGAAAGCATCACGTTTGAAGTGAGTTGCAGTGCCTAAACTTCTGTAAAACTGACATAAGAATTTACATGTTATCTTCATCAGTCTGCTCAGACATATTTTTTAAAATGAATGTACTTTATGTTTAATCAAGTTGTATTCTGTGTTTGTGCTCTAACTTGAAATTTGGAGTGCCTGTAAAAATATTCCATCACTGAGTTTGAAACTTTCATCTAGTCCACAGATCTGCATTTTGTTTGTCTTTGATAGCTTTTTCTTTGAAGCTTTCCTTCCCATTTACTATTTATCAACTCGTCTGCCCCTCACTGTCTATATTTATCAGTCTATACATCACCTTTTTTCCTATCCATTTAGTTGATCTGTTGTTAAAATAAATTTTCTATCTTTAATTTCTTTATGTCTGCTTTTTGTTGTCAAAATCATGTCTCTGTACTTGTCTATCTATCAATGCAATCTGCGCATGTATCTCTGTCCTCTTTTCTATCTTTACCGTCCCGTATGTGTTGTCCTTTTTTATTTCACTATTTTGCTTTTATTTTGAGAATGCAAAAACTTATAAATAAAAACAGAGCATTCAAAATTAGCTGTAAATGCAGCAGATATAATATGCTCCTTTGCTTCTTTATGGGTTTTTTTACTGTTTGAGATGTCGTCTTTAAAATTGATATTCAATATATGGCAATTTTTAAATGGAACCCATAAGCCTGACCTCAGTACAAGGAGATTAAAAGTAATGGAGGATGCTCTGTGGGCGGCATGGCACGCCTGATAGGAGCCCTCTCTCGCGGCAGAACTGTGGTCTACCTGCGCTGCGCGAATCCCTGACTCACGCACTGAAATCTAGATAAGAAAGAAGGTTTTATTCCGAGGTCCTTGAGATTAGGCAAGTCAATTAGTAAAAATGCCTTGCAT